GTTAATTAAACATCGTCCATGGTGAAGTCGATGATAAAATAATTTACGCATAATATCTTCTAGAAGTTATAGATTAGAATACGACGATTCATGTTCTTTTGTTTAATTTTTATATTTTTATCCGTTTGAATGTATGTACATGTTAAATAATATAATATTAGGTATACACACATGCGCACATCGTTATAGCTTATTGCGATTGAGTCATTACGAAATTCGTTTGTGTCGTCATAATTTTTTTTCAGATGCGTGTAATATGCATTTTTAGTGTGGACTACGGAAGTGGCCATATCATTGATTTCCTGTCATAATGATGAATGAACAGTGAATATCTGATTTGGCGAGTTCCTTAAACACATTGTGCATATACAAGTAGCATTGCCACCGTCGTTTAATTTAGCGTATATCCATATAATCGTTATGTTAGTAAGCAGCACTCGCTACAGCTAGGTTAGCGTCGTCGTCGTCGTGAATATTGTCGAACTTATATTTCATTATTATCAATCGTATAGCCATTTTCTAGGTTTTATTTTTCTCTGAAGACATTCGTAACGGTAAATTGTATCCTTACAGTAATAGTCATAATATGCGAGGTGCACATATTACGACCAAACAATGGTCCGTCATGAATTTTAAAATATTATAATTCATGGTACATTATATATTTTATTATATAATACGCTTTATAGTTTCAATATGATGAATAAATATATTATATTGTACGTATTATATTGTAAACGTATTGCATGCAAAGACCGGAAGAGAAAAACTTTGCAAAGTAAAGAATTAGAAACGATTCGATCGTTTGACGATAGAAAATCTCTAAACACAAATACACATTTATACTATTGATATGTATTTATGGATAAATATATCCTTCTATTTCTAAATATGATTGCTGAAGCATATACTATAAAAAATACTTATCAAGATGTTAACATACAAAAATCGTAATTGAAATGGAAAAAAAATCATAGTATGGCATTAAGTGAGGCATATTGAGAATACAAGTCGAACATGTAAAGGAAAACTAACTTATTAAACTGTTGTAATAAACGCTGGTATAAAATATAGGATGTAATTATTAGAATAAAACGTCAGAGAACACTTCAATGTATGCGCTTAAGTACATGTTCGTAGCATGTACTGTAACATAAGGCAAGAAAACCGTACATTCAGGTGAACAATTTTTACTGAATAATATTTAATATTAATCATGGTAGATGAATAATAATTCTAGGAACAAAATAATATGTGGCTCGCAAAGGTATTCTATGTGATCCATCACAAATTTTTTAAATAAAACAAAATATTTAAAAAAAAAGTAAAATTTTCATAAAATACGTTTTTTATTAATTTATTGATATTATTTTCGAAAATTTTAAAATGGAAAGTATCTACAGCATGTATCATAACCTGTAATATTTTCAATAATCAATAAAATATATGAAAACAAATCACCTACAATGCACCTATAATACACCTATAATACACCTACATATATATTATATACCTACTATTTATATACTATATAAATATATATTATTATTATTATATTTTATTTTATTAAATATAAATTTGTATATCTACTTTTTATCTGTAACAAAATTATATAATTAGATTAATATTGATATTATATTTTATGTTATATACTTTTATATTTGGTGACCCGCCGAAAGATAATTGTTTACCAAAGTGAATCACTGAAGAAGAAAGGTTGGACATCACTGATTTACAAATATTTTAAACATCGAACCCCTATTATTTTTAAAACCTCTTGTAGGTCGCATTCTTTATAACATTATTATGTATTTTGAAAAAATTGAGTTTTTAATAATACACATTATTTAATTTGTTAGACTATTGAAAATTATTAATTTGTTTTTATTATTACAATATACTATATGTTTATATTTTAAACAAAATGTGTTACAAACTGAGTATTTTTTATTTTGTAAAGAGATTTTTAACATTGTTTTTCTTTATTTAGTTGATCTACGTTCGGCCTTATTTTATTTATTGAATACATTACACACTCATTTATAAAGTACCTATATACACGTGTGCGCGATACGACGTTAATAATATTATGTTGTGATAAGTGCATGTCGAGCGATCGTTTTACAACCGACGCGCACACACTTCACGACGGGGTCGGCCTAATAAAATATTTAATATCTACTTTAAACGAATATATAACGTTTAAACTGTATTATTTACATTGCTCAGTCGACCATCGTGTGTATTTAATCTCATAAAAAATTCAATGGTTTTTTGTTCGGATATATATCTATACCACTAGTAGGTATTTAAGTATAAAATGTATACTGCCTGTTATTGTTGTGATGCTGGGTTGGACGTGATTTGAATGATTAGGATTGGATTTAATAAACGGTGTATATAGCTGCTATATAGTAGTGTTCGAAGAATTTTTATGGCCAATTATCTATAAACGCACAGTTCGTTAATAAAAAATTATTTTTACCACTCAAACCGCTTGCGCGGTTTGATAAAGATCTACGTTAGATTTTATTTTGACGAACACGTCTTTGGAGTTATGGGAAGAGTAGTGTGTTACTTATCGGTTGTCTTATAACCCTTGATATGTTCAACATAACTGAAGCAAACAATAATGAAGTATATTTTTAATAAACTATATCTAAATCCGAAAAAATACTTAAGATTAGTCGTTCAACCGATCGAACGTGTAAACTTTTGTTTCCTCATTGGTTAGTTTACTCAAGAAGAGGTTTATCTTTTACTTTAACTAAACAGATTTTAATTACTTGTTTATGTTATGTTAAATAGTTTGAATAAATGTATATGTTTTGAAGATAATATTATGTGTGATGTATATGTAATCGAATAATGATGGGCTCTTGTCTCAACGTAGGAAACAGTGCACGCGTCCAATGTTATTGGATTGAATTATAATATTTTATTATATTTTATTATATTTTAATATAATATTTTCTATCGCAAAATAATGTATTCGTTTCGAAATGGTCCTGGGCGCGGGTGGACAATCATCTACCATCTACGATGAATTACGAACTCAAACAAAGTATACTTTTCGTTTTTTGTGTTTTTATTTGGTTTTTTTGTGCTCGAGCTGACGAAACACGTATACGCGTATCCGCGACACGATAAAGTGCGCAATTACGAGACTTCGTATTGTATTTAATGCGTGATCGTGCTAATGGAATACAGATAATGTGAACAATTAAAAAAAAAAAAAATAAAAAACGTTTACGATTTGCGCTCGAATCCGTCGCGCGCACACGTTCCTTTGGTTTGATTTCACGTCACGTACGCGGGTCGACAAAGCGCGTAAGAGTGACAGACGCGTCGCGCACCGACGCCGTTCGCAGGAACAACGCCCGCCGATAGGTTCTCGCGATGACGTACGAACTCGCGCGGTTCGTTCCCCGTTCGACTACGAAATGCCTGCCGGGGACCGATGCCGAGCGCGCTTACGCGTGAGTACGTTCAGGCCGAACAAGGGCCAGCAGCAAGGGTCGAACAATCGTACGATCACATCGTCGCAGCGGTGTGTCCGTGCACAAGATGACGAGACGGTATCAAACGGGACACGTTATCATTTTCGATCAATTACGTACTTTTGACGGGGTCCTCACTTTTGGATCTCCGTACTTCCGTCGGTTTCACCGCTGATGTTTGCGAACCGATGCGATTTTTGGAAGTGATCAGCATTTGAAACGTTTCCTGCTAGCAGGTGTTTATTTAGGACAGTTTGTACCTAACCCGTTGAACATTTTCACGGTGGGTTCAGTAACCGTGTAAACCGTTGCTACATACGTTTACCCATAGTTAATTGTAATAATTTATAATACAATACAAATGTACAGAACCGTCCTAAGGATTTTTATGGCCTGGGGACAGTTAATTCGGGATACCCTCAATCATCACGATGATATACGAGTTTGATAAAAAAAAAACACACCGAGCTTACATAATGTTGGTAAATATAGTTTTCAAACCCTCAACCAATCAAGGTAATTTTAATGTATCGATACGACGAATCACATTTTTAATAAATTCTCGATAATATATTTACCGCAATGAATTATATTTTATTTGTTCCTAGATCATTTGTAAACAGTCGTTAAAAATAAGAACTTGGTTGTTGTCATGTCGATACTTGCGATACCAAATTTCTACGTACATTTAGATGAAATCATGTCATTCTTCACATTTCGGCAATAACCATAACGAATCACGGAAATAACTATTTAGAAATTAGAATAACCGAAAAAGTGGCCCGTATAATAACGGTTACATATGAACCTAAGTTGATGTTATTTAATTCAATTTATTAATATTTTATAAAGAAAAATAGTTTAAGAATAATCCATCAGCAATCTCCATTGAGTGAAGCCGAGTATTTCTAATCAAATCTGAACATTAAGCAGGGGTGTCATTTGGGGGATTCAGACTGTACATTGGCAGCCCTATTTTTTTAAATGTTTGGTTGGCCCGTATAAAATGTTATAATTGCGCCGTCGCCGATAAAATATAAGATGCAAACGCGCTGTAATGGTGCGAGTTTTTCATAAGAACCTATTGTCCTATTGAAGTATTGAAGAATTTTTTTAAGTTCCGCTAAATAAACAGGATATATAAATGGCCTGGCGGAGGGAACAATTGGCCTGATTCAAATGTTTGTATCCCTATTGAAAAGTTGAAATGACGCCCCTGACATTAAGGGAGTCCCCTTTAAATTTCCCTGCCCCAAGGCCAGGGGAAAAATTTAGTTTTGTTGTCCCTTCCCACTGGTGACGGCCCTGCTAACATTATTCACGATTCGACGCTATCGAAACGTGCACGGTAAGGCAGAAGAAAATATCACGTAAACCCTCGTTAGCGGTCACGTATAGGGGACGATAGGTCATTTACCACTTTTGATATTATAAATTTATGTGTACGATCCATAAAAAAAGAATTTAAAAATAACACGTAATCGATTGTTATCGTTGCAGGAATTTTCCGATTGTCGTCGAGCAACGCGGAACTGGTGTACTCGAACTTGGCCGCCATGGTCAACTCTTCCGGCGCTTCCGGTCCGCAGCAACAGGCGGCCGTCCTGTTCCGACTGGGGCAGCTGGGCCGGCAGCTCCAGGCGTCCGGGCAGCAACCGTTCATACTGCCCATGCCGAATCCGCCAGCGGCGCACCAGACGCCCGCCGATCTCAGCAGCAAATCGTCGCGGAACAAATCCGAAATCCAAAATCCTTAAGGGCGTGCGCCGTGGCGTCCAGTTCGACCAAATCCACATTGTACGCGCGCACATGGTGCACGCTCGCACTCGTATAGATAAACAGTGTATTACTGCAGTTGGTACTAATTTTAATGTTTTCACGTGTACACGTACAGCGAGTGTTTCGCCGCACCATTTGTCCGACAACTCTTTTTCGTTGTGTATTGTTTCCGAAAATTAATTTTTTTTTAATCTCATCATACCGTACGTCATGTAACCGAATCTTTATCCGTGTTTCTGAATTGAAGTAGCGCTTACGTTAAAAAGAATTGAACGCTGACGCGGCCAACGACTTGTACAACGGTTTTCCCGAACATTTCAATGACGAATTCTAACAATTGAATCGTACGATTGACTACGAAACATGACGAAAAATTTTTAAAATTATCGATTTCGATACATAAACCTTTCGATCGTTAAACGTGGCTAGCGTTTGGAATACGTTTCGTTATGTTGTTCAAAGTACCACGAGTACGTACACTCAATGAAGAAAAACGACTTATTTTTTGTACAATGAAATGTAATAATCTTATGCGAAAGTAATATTGATATTGAAATATTAGAAATCAATACAAATCTTTCTTTAATCGATCCCTTGAAATAGCAATCTAAATTAAATTGTTGTACATGGACTATAAAACGTATTCAACGTATGCTTTAGACTTAATTTTTCTGCGATTATTAAATTTCAATAATATTGATTGCATTCATAGTTATTATCCAGGACGAACACATTGAAATACCCTGTATGTATTTACCTACATCTGGGTTTCTTCAAAAACTTTAATATTTTATAACTACAACGGCATAAATGTCAAAATATATCGACATCAGTTTCACCCTGCTTTTGATAGCAAATAAAATAAAATTTTACGATATTATTTAATAACTTAACTACCATAAAACTTTTAACTGTTACTGTCATTGAACACTAAATAATTCAAAAATACCAGGTAACTATATTGACCATAACATACATAAGTTGCTGTGAAATATAAGTGTTAATTGATTTCTATTGTTAAGATAAATTATTTGTTAAAATAACAATAGAAACACGATATCAACATCGATAATTTCGATAACGTAGAAACAGATTTTTTTTTTTTTAATAATTTCGTTCTGTTCAACTTGATTTGAACATTGTGTCTATTGTCATGTGTGTGCTACTTCAGACACTGTAAAGTTCGTGCACTTTCATTTGGATTTGAATTAATATACTTAACTATTGATTTCATAATGTACCTGTAGGTGTCTATTATTGAATCAAAGGTATAACTTATGTCATATTCGTTTTCCTTCTTATAAAACTTGATCCGTGCCGAAAAAGGCATTAGGAAATGTAAAATTCTGCAGAGGCGAACACTTGTTGACGATTTCGCAATTTCATGTGTTAAATATGTGTTTGTGGTGTAAACTATTTGCGGTGTAAATTTGACCTAAAAAAAATCATACAATTTTAGCCCGGATTCAAAATTTGAAAGCATATATAATTATTAAGTATATTTTTATATCATATAGTTTTTTATGAACCCTAAGATTCAGGTACGCGAGTCCGAAATAAATAATCATAATAATATTTATATATCTGTTCGTAAAACATGAATATTTCACATAATTTAATTACATTAAAAATTATACTGTTATTTCTATGTACGAAGTATGGTAATTTTAATCATTTAAAATGTTATGATACACGGAGTGACCGAAACATCGATTCTGTCGATTGTTTATTTAATCTATATTGCCTCAGGATATGACATCACATTTCGTGATAATACTGACCAATCATTTTTTACATAGGTGATTATGCATTTGCTCTTGTGTACTTATATATTACATGTATGAGAGTTAAGAGTTATTTTTTCGAATTTAGGTTTTGCTTTCATATAAAAAATAGGTACAAGCAGTACCTAATGATAACATTAATTTTATGATCCATTTTTTTCTTTTCTGCTATTTTTCTATGCATACTTTGGCGACAAGTATTGAAAAAAAAATACATTTTATTTGTACATATATGTATAGATACATATTTTGAATCAAAACGTATACTAAATTAATATTTTTATTACCGTTAAATTAAAAATCGCCGTCATTCAAACAAATTAATGTTTAAAAATCATTGATAACATTGATTTTTTATAAATTCTTTGAAAAATACTACAACTTACTTACAATACTTAGTGTATGATAATTTGCATTATTATTTTTTAGTTTAAAAAAAATATGAATTGTTAAAATCTATTTCTAATATAATATGTGTTAATAAAATTTGTTCCTTTTTTTTTCTACCTATTCCGCCATGCCTTTCTTCGTTAAATATTATGAAATAAAATTGTTAAATATTACTTTAACTATTATTATTATTTACATCACATCTTATCGACCAAACATTGTATCTATCTATACATTTAATTTTTTATAATAGTAATAACGTTTAGTATTTATTTAAAGTATTGTTTTTTGACTGTTTGAAAATGCCTTAGTATGTTATAAATTGTAAATATTGTTTAAATATTAACCAAGTTTTTAAAACGTATGTTAAGTTGAGTATGTGTAATACATTACAATATGTATTGTAACTTATCACCAGACTCAAAAAATTATGTATATTGTTGTTTTATTTAATAAGAATGTTGTGTAATACAGAAATCGACTAAAACAAATATTATTTAAAAAAGAATTATTTTTTTCACAATATGTTTGTTCAGCGACTGATTATTTTTGTATTTAATTAACAATGTTTTTAACATTTTAAAACGATATTTATATTATAAACTTTGTTTTCTATAATGTTTTTATGATCGCTGCAATATAGTTTATTTATTCAACATATTATCGACTTATGGTGTTCATATTAATTTTACAAACGTGCTAAAATCCTTATTCTGTGCCCCACAAGTAGTCAGCATGTATCTACTATTTATAACGTTCTAAAACAATTATAAAATGTGAACCAATTCTTTAGTTTTGTATACACCATCGTTTAAAGGTAAAATGCATATTTATAACTAGCTAAGACTTGTTATAAACAGGAAAATCGAAACTGTTGTCAATGTCATGTTATTATTATTTTATAGCAGTTACAAAATTGATAATATAAAGCAAGTAAAGTAACATATGTAAGGCATGTTACGACTTTAATATGTCATACAATTATATACATATTTGTTAATCGTTTAATAAAGCTATTCTACTCGTAATATGTACATAATACAATTTTATTATCTGATAGATATTTACATTAATTAACATTAAATGTTATTTAATGTAAATATCAGATATCATTACATTTTAACAATGATGATTTATATCTATTATTCTGGATTTAAATATTTCATTACAATTTTATCGTATCAAATATTTTACTAAACAATATAATATTAGTATCTTTTTACCTTCATAGTTTTAACAATACTTTACCATTAAAATATAAGAGGTAAAGGCATAATAATATAATATCTCCTTATTTCTATTGAGGTATTAAAAGGAATTGTTTAAAACGCTGAACAATACTAAAAAAAAAAAAAAAAAAATGTAGGCATAGTATGGTATTATAATACTATATGAGTGAATTTTTTTCTGTGAAATCAAGAATTTTTCAAATATTTTACATAACTTTTAATTGATTGAAAATTTGAAATATATTTTATGAATCATTAAAAATATATTTAAATAATAATTAAAGAACATAATTTTTTTAAATTTTAAAACTGACTAATATTTTAAGGTTATTTTTACTATATAAAAATGGGAAAAATTATTGATTCAATTGCAATATTGTTACTTATTTATCTTATTTTTACCGCGATGCATATAATATATATTTGTTATTTCATAATCCATATTTCTGTGCTCACCGTATGAGACAATTGTCGAAACTAAAATTACATTGTTATTTTATTAGATCAGTATTAGTTTATGGATGGGTAGTAAATATTGATAAAGTTTATCAAAGTATAATGATTATAATACATTATACTACGATATAAAGATTGGTTTTAACCATAACTCCTTTATTAACGACAATATCATGGTTTGTGTGTGTAGGTATATAATAATATGTAACTGTGTTTAAACATATAGCATATAATTTTGTTTAAGAGTAGTATTTCATAATATTTTTTGCGCAATCGAATGATTCCTTCTACAATATTCTGTGTCTCCGTGAAATGAGGATAGTGTACTTATTTTAAATTACTAATTATCACAAATCAACGAGTGTCTAGCGGAATTAAAAGTGAAACAGTCACACTAAAGGTTTAAATTTAACTATTTCTTAAGTATTAGTGCATCAAATCATTTTTGTATCCTTACATATAATTTTTAATACACGCACACACACACACGCACGTATACACATTTATATACTTGTATATAATTAGTCACACGAAAACTATGTTGAATGTAAGTTTACGCAATTAATTTATAATATTTACAGAATATAATAGGTGTGACTTGTAATCGATTTATGCTATAACTTTTTGCAAGCCTCATGTTTAATTTCATATTTTTGAGGGAAAAAAATCTGACATTTCTGTACGATGGCGAATAAAAATAATCACGAATCATAACCTTATCTACTGGATAAAAAACGATCCCTGTGGAAACAGTTAAAGAAGTTATAATGATAAATTAATTAAATATTTCAGATAACCTTACGGCAGCTGTTAACGATAACTGAAAACGTCAACGTTTTGTTGCAAACATAATTTTATATGATACGCAGTTCACGTGCATAATAATCAGTACGATGTGCACTAGATTACTCGACGAGAATGGGGTTTTATGTTGTCATCATTTCACCAGCGAAAAGAAGAAAACGTTTTAAAAAATATTAAATTTAAATTTAATATCATATATTTCTGCACAGTTTTAATTCAATATAATGGGACACGTGGTTTGCTTATACATGTAGGTACGCGAACAATAGGACGAGCTAGGGCTGAAATGATTAAATCATCATCCTGCTCAATAATTTATACAATAACAGTTAAAAAATTAAATTCAACGGTGAGTTTCATCCCTAGCATGTCCTACCCGTCTCCTATTGTTTTACGTAGTAATTCACTGCGCGTAACGGTTTAAATAATAGCTTGCACGCATACACGCATGTACGGCCGCTGCAAGCATAGTGATAATTCATAAATTCTTAAAATATCGATAGTTTTATCCGATCAAACATTTTTCACGATCTACGCGGTAACTAATTGCACGCGGTACATTCCTACCCGTCTTCGTAACATTACTCTGCCGTCACGCATCATCATTATTCACTAAGCGCGCATGGTCAGATGAATTCGGTTTCGAGTCGAGCAGACGTGGTGCGCGTGTCGACTGAATTTCGCCCGTGAGTCCGTGCAGTGCCGTTTACTTCGGCTAAAAACACGACGTGAAGTCGCTAATCCGGTAAATTGTAGTCGCGGTGCGAAAATAGGGTTTTTACGTTTTACGAGATTGTTGCACTTATTAATAGTAAATCCGCGCGCGATTTTTGGCTCGTCCGCCCCCGTCGACCCCATCGCGCTGAGCAAATATTATCTACGCGTCGTTAGAACATATAGCGATATTGACGACAGGGCCGGCGAGAACTTCTGATGGCCCCGGGGCTGCGGGGGTTCCGGGTCCCCTTCCCTTTGCAATTGTTTAACCAAGACGCACCAAGATCACTTGTACATGTTTTGGTACAACAAAAACATTGTATACAAGGCCGAAACGACGGGCCCCGGGGCTCTAGCCCTCCCTGCTCCACCCTCCCGCCGGCCATGGTTGACGACATGACATCAATGTGGTTTCGATGCAGGAGAAAAGAAAACCGTTCGATCGATATCGTTGGCAGTAGGCGCAATAAACACGTACACGCGTTATTACGAGTAAATCGTTATGAATTGATATTATACACACTCGTTAAGGCTTTGCGCACGATAACCATTGTTGGCGATTCCGTTGTCCGTGTACGGCACACGCAAATACTGCACTCTCATCAGCAATCTCGATCTTATCGGTGTACGCACTGCGTAATTTATGCGTATGAAATAGTAACCCGCCGACGTATGGGTCTACAACGACGGTACGACAATGTTACGTGTAATAATTCCACCGTGCACTCTTCCCGGATATTAACCGTTTAGAAGTATTTCGCTTTGCATTGGTCCGTATATATTTCGGATTATTAGCCTGGAATTTCAGTGAGGTCGGGTTCGTAGACGAAACCGAGAACAATCTAGAGAAGATTTCTTCTTGTGATTGCTTATGAAATAGGAATGCGAATTGGCTCTCTTGGTGAAATGGATACATTGTATATGGGATCCCACTACTAACGAATAGGCGCACAATGGAGGATTTCAAATTCACACTCGTATAATGGTTGTGTGTTTTCTATTTTCGAAAACATTAAGCGGGAAGTCCCGTCCTTAACGTCAGATTCTTTGTTGCCTTCCAGCAGACCTTGAACACTCAAAATCATGTGTTAATTAGTTCTATAAATTGTATACGTTAAATGTCTGCAACTTTGATTTTTTTAATAACGCCTTTGGTCATCACATATTCAGTATTATATTAGAGTATATATTAGTCAGTGCCGAATTTAAGAGGGGAGGGGGGAGAACAATAAAGGAATTTACCACCTCCCACGAGATTTTTTTTTTATTGTTTTGCAGTAGCAGTGATTAAAAGTTAAATTCCTTTATTATGACTACTCGCCTATCTTGAGTTCCAACCAAATACGGTACTCATTTCTGTGTTTACAATTGAAACCGTTTCTACGATCAATACCACGTTTTGTGTTATAATCATGGATAATAAACAAAAATGTATTATCTATAGTTATAATCAATATTCTGTGTTAATAGTTTATTTTTATTACACCTTAACTTTAAAGTTTATTCTGTTATTTATACTTCGTATTGTTTTTTTATGTTTTCTAGAATAGTGAACGTTTTGACGTTATTATGTCAATATCAAATATACAAATTTTGCCCTAAGTTTATCACTAAAGTTTATCACGCGAGTACGAATTGAATTAAAAACGAGTAAACACGTTAAAGGTACGCAGCATTTTATAAACATAGCGGAACGAGGCAACTTTTTAAAAATACGGCTCTCCTGCCAGTGGCAACGCTACCATGAAAATGCCCGTCTTACTAGTGGCCTGACCTTAAACATAATAATATAGTCATTTTTCGTAAACAGAATTATTTTGTATATTTTATCGTTGCCATAGTATTGTAATGATTTCAAATTTTGAAATATGGGGCAATTAACTCATATTAACTATTATTATTTTTGTTGAAATGTCATTTTTTGTGGCCCTAACTTATAATTATTAGCATCCTATTGGCCTTATCGAAAAAAAATCCTAGCGCCGCCATTGATCTCCTATAAGTATTGCATCATATCGAATTAACCGCCGTGATCATCGAATAGTTGGCTGTAAGCAGCCGTGCATGATGTGTAGGCACTATCGGCTCTACAATTTTACGCGATCCTATACAATATTATACTATAACCATTCGGTATATAATTAATCTGCAATCACGGCCGACACATCTCCGGAGTTCTTGCGTTTCGCTTATGTAGGTGGTACAGGTAAGTATACATAAACTCATTACAATTCGTCTTATTAATTTATATTTTTTTATCGGGAAACGTATTCAACCATGTTGTCGCTGAATAATCATATAGAAACACGCGTAGTACGTGCTGACTCGTTCGATACAATAAACAACGAAAACCATCGATAATAATTTTCACTATCCGCGAGCGAATGCTGCGACGTGAAATTATACTTCGTTTTACTTCTATGTTGCTAGGGTGCAGACTGTGATCCATGGGTTTTTAATGGGAGTAAATATATTGTACTAAATGCAAATAATTACCCTGGAATCCGCTTGATGCGATCACGCGCTCTGCGGCGATGACCGAAAAAATGCACGTAGTACGCATATGATTAGTAAAATAACTGCGCATGATTTTAATGCGATCGAAAGGTTGAACGGAAAAGCTAACCATACAGCACAGTACAACGTAATTGCAAGTGTTTCGCATCGTCGTACGTCACCGCCACGAATTCACTCCTCCGCGGAAGCCACCGGAGAGTGCTAACCGATATGCGACTGTCGCCTAACTAAATAATTTATTCGGCGACGTCAAATTAATTCAAACATGTACATTTTAACGCTGTAAGCCGGAGTAATGAAAGCAAGAACGATTCTCAGTGCCAAACACCGACATAGTGTTCACACACTCGTTCGGGGACGTATTTAGGGGGGCATGGGGGTACCATCGCCCCGGGTGGCAAATTGTTTTGGAATAAAGGAGCGGCAGCATGTTTTTGTAACAATAATCCATCGTCCATTTTCATTCGTCAATCAAAAAATTTCAATATTTTGCATAGCGACCACATTGCGGTTTTTATTTTCATGATAATATTATCAAAAGTTTATCGCGTAAAATCCATAGATAATAAATATTATCTTTCCTTAAAAATCGTCAAAAACGTACGTAGATGTGGCGATAAAACTTTACCTGGGGCGGCAAAACTCTAAGCTACGTCTCTGCACTCGTTCACATACATTGCATGTATTATGTATTATTGTATACCAATTATTAGTTAAAAATTATAGTGTTGAGTAAAATTTGTTGTGTTGTACTCGTAAGTATTCTGCAATTGGTTCCTATGACGTTTGACCACTACTGTTATGTTTAAGTCGAGTACGTACCGCGAGTGTTGGACGTTTGTTGTTCATTCCGACGTTCAAGCGTAGAATTGAACCGATGAAAAAATCACAATCGACATGTTCTTCATCAGTATACAACAATAAAAATCGCTCGTGAAACGTATAATAAAGCCATTCAATAATTTAATTAACTATTTCGTATATTTTGTGTTTTACGCATATTATATACTTTAATATTATTTAATAAATAAACTTTAAAACGTTTTTTTAAACAATAAATGTATATGATTCGTATAACATAATCGATAAATATTCGAATAAACAATAACAAATTTAATATCATATTAATATCAATGAAACTAATTACAACAATCGATTTGACTCGAAAAAATGCTTAATACTTTATGAAATAACAATAGATAAATATCGTATTCACTTATAAATTATAAATCCCAATACCGATCGGTTTATTATTCGATTAATGAGTTTGGGAATAGTTAAACGGGAAAACATCTAATTACGTTTCACACTTATTGTCCAATTAATTTACCTAGTGGGATATGTAACAAGTTATTTATTGTTGAACTATATTATTGTATCATATAACGATCGATCAGAGGATGAACTAGGAATTTTTACGCCCAGGGAAAATGTTAAAATTACATCCTACCATAAACCAAGAATCAAATACTCTTCTCGAAAATTTTTTTCTAACAATTAATATACAATCAAACTTATTGAGTTTTAACCTAATATCGGTATTTAACAAAGTAAAAAATATCAAATCAGTTGTTAATAATTACAAAAATTACACCCTCTAAAATTTTACGCCCGGAGATGAATCCCTGTTTTCCACCACCTAGTTCCGTCCCCGCAATCGGTTGTTAAAACTGTTATTATTATTTGGAATTCAATAAAATTGGTCTTAAATTATTAGTATTTCCTTCTTATATATAACTTCTTAGATGTACACTGTGGAAATTGAGGAGTCAGATATGTTAACTCGACTGAAAAAAATGCGTTTGAAAATCAAATGCTGAAGAGAACTGAGGATGTGAGAATGTTGGAAGGACTATGACAATCTACGAGCAGTATCCACGGCAAAGGAACTGAATATGTTTGTAGTTTACGTAAACTTCTTTGTACAATATAATACAGAACGGAACACCGCTTAAAGTGTACTCGAAAATATAAACTACTATAGTAATAAAAATACATAATTAATAAAAGAATAACGATATTATTTTTTAATCCGATCAAATTTGTATTAGAAAAACGTTATGTTTTAAGACTCTTCGTCCTTTACTTCTTCGTCCTCCGTCAGCTTCTCGTCAACATTTACTTGGTTGGTGGTGCTGTTGTACCTGGGTCTCATCAGAGTCTTGGCTGACTCTATCCTCTGGTTTAGGATCTAACGAGAAAACATAATGAACATTTAATAAATACACTTCATATCGGAACAAACGAAGGAGTCTAATATTCTATTCACTTTTCGGTCATTCGGCTGCAACGGGAATGAGTACTTCATCGTCGGTGTCGGTTTAATTATTATTATCATTGTTCCTATACATATATATTTAAAAAAATCAAATGGCTCAAACGTCAGTAATAAACGTCAAAATCAGTAGATACGTCGATACAGCTAAATGCGTAATGTTTTGTTATTGCTACTTTGATTGAAAAAAAAGCCATTTTATCATGTATAAACACAAAAATAAACTTGCCATATAAAAGAACAATATGTATTTTCTTTTTAGTTTTGATATCGCTTTGATTGTTAAGTATACGACTGTAATTGATCCACCGAGAATTTATAATACACATTTCACAAAACCAAATTAAATCGATACTTCATAATGTGTTCGAGTCGACTATATTTTTATCGTTGCTATTTTTTAAATGAAATATTCAAACACCTTATTTCGTTTTATCGTATTATACGCGTATTTTTTAAATCCCCGAAGTTAGGATTTACAGTATTTTAAATATTATAAGAAGTTAAAAACCTATATTGTAAGTGTATATACACGAGTATAATCAGAATAAAACAATAAATATATTATATTTTAGTGATCAAATTACCATGAGCATCAGCTGTTTCATCAAAAATATCGTCACGCACACTCGGAGAATAACATAAGTTGTAACATTAATTAATATAATTAATACACACGTCAATTTATTGTTTATCATCATTATGCGGTTCAAAACAATTTTGAAAATAAATTCATGAATTCCTTAGCGGCCAACATGCACGCGTAATATGCAAGTAGACGATGCGCAATTGTAACGTAGTACACGATTCAAAATGTATTCGTATTGCAGTTATATCGTCGAACAATCGACGAGTTATATCGTCCGCACGTATATATTATATTCGTCATAATTTATACTATTTACGTTTCGTTATATCACAGTAATGTATTGCGTATCCGTTGTATAACCGCGTTTATGACGTATTAAATTCGCTCTAGGACCTGTACGTATGCGCGTAGAAACCTTCTATGTATTATGTTGTGCTCGCAACCGATTTGATTGAAAACGCGTATTCGTTAAAAAGTGTCTCGATCCGACCGCGTTTCGTTCGACTGAATATACTTAATACAACATGGAGTACGTCATCAACATAACGAGGTGCTTGAACGGCGATGTATATATTATTTCGATATGTCATATGCGTTTTTTATAGATCGAATCTCCGTGTGGCATATAATACGATCGCATAAAGATCGTCTCGAGCACGACGCATGTATACGAGACATATTTTTTATGTTTAATTTAGTAGAAGCTATTTTAAATTATTACGAGAAAAATTCACAGAACCATATAAACCCCCGGAGAAATTGCGTTACATTTGAGTGAATTGGAAAAACATTTATATCGGCTGAACGAATTGTAAGATCTATTTTATTATTATATTTTCTAAAAAAATTATAAAACAATCAAGAGTTTTCCAATCAGATTCTATAAAGAAACTTCAACTAGAATATTAAACAATCATAAGTTCTGTCCTTGAACTGTCACCTTTTTTTACTAAAATATTTTCGTGTTTTCGTTTAATGAATATACTATTATTTTTTTTATATATTTGTACCGGTTGCATTTAAAAATTCGCAATTTCGCGTTAGGTACACTTTTTTGGTAACCTAAAAATCAGTATTTTAAATTACATTCGCACTAGTGTAACATAATCTTTTAATAATATTTGAACTATGTTTAAGACTCAAAAAAAAAAAATAAATAAAATAAAAACCAAAACCAATTATTTTATTCTTAAGTTTTCTACATTCTGACTTTAATAACTTATAACTTTCTTACATAAAATTTTTTTTTTTTAACATTTTGGAATTAGTAATCGAGGTTCGCTATAATGTTACAAAGTGCTTATAGTATTTGTAAATTTGGGATGTTAATACACACCCATAGAATTAAATCGATTATTATGCAATAATTTTCCGTACCAGACATCTCGATCGAAAAAAGTTATAACTGCATTTTAGTTTAGGCACAAGAAATAATGTTGATAATGTTTTGGTTGTTCATAACGTTCAACGACCCCATTAAAAAAAAAAAAAATGCACACCCCCTATTTGATTTTTTTTACCATTTGAATGACGTGAACCAATGCATAATTTTTATATTTATCTGTTTTATTATTCAGAGGCCTATGACCGAAACTCAGTGAATAAGTAAAAAGGCGCACGATTTCGACGGGTCAGTCGTAATATCATTACTATGTTTTTAAATTACGTACTATTTATAATAATATTGTTTTCATGCGTTTTACCTGTTGGCGTCTCTGTTCAGCCTCTGCCAATTTCTCTTGCAGTGCTTCGCTGGTCAGCGGTGGAGATTTTTGTCCTTCCAACATCCTAAATCTCTTTGGCGGGTGTCTCTTCACGAGACTTTCTTCCTCTTCGGTCAGCGGAACGCTAAATGCTATAGCTGAACACACACATACACATACGCGTAAGTCATTATTATTATTTCAAAAACTTATAACAACAAAAATTAATTTACGTTATACGTTTTCATATTATATTTACGTATTTTATTGAAATATCAATTTAATAATTCCATTTTTGTCGACTGAAAGTTGGTATGGTCTTTTGAAATACCCAAAATATTTTAAATCAAATCGTATACTTTTAAAATTAATGAAATAAATCTAAGAAAATACTTTCCATCGTTTTTCACATACTAATCAAACATAAATAGTAGCTGATAATACATAATGTTTGTTAAGACATATTTATTAACATACAAATATTTTATATATTAATTTTTATTTATTCATTCTATATTTTTATACTTTTATTTTGTTATAGTGTCCTGATTATATAATTATAATTTTCTATGAATTAAATATTTACGTTTATATATTGCTTTTATTCTAGTTATTAAGTAAAATTGTGCATAATTACTGTTAGCGTACTAAGGGTTTTCATTTGTTTGTTGTAATTAATAAAAATAAATAAATATACACTACAACGAACTGTACCAAACTTTAAAAAAAAAATCCACATTATTCAAACGTTCAAAAATCCACGGTACATATTCAAATGGATACTCCGTGAGCGAGCACCGAATAAAATACGAATACACGGTAAATTATAGTAACTACTGTGTGTCTAATGAAAACTTTATACATGAAAACGCATTGAAATTTATACGAATTAAAAACGCGTTCTTACGTGATGGTATTTCCAGTCTCAACTTGCTCAGCTCCTCGTTTGGCATGGGCATGGGCATCGTTGAACCTCCACACCCCATGGCCAAGGATTATTTGTTATTGTTAAAAATTAAATGAAATCAAAAAAAAAAAAAAATTAGACGAGTACGTTCTGGAAAGAAATAATTTCAATAACGACGAAAAAAAAAAAAAATAAGTAGAGTGGAAAACGGTCAACGGTTCACATAATCGAATCCGGTGCTTTTCGATCGTTGTACTAACAGCGAATGGGCCTAGGCGTACGCATTTAAAGGTGACGAGCACGTGCCGGGAAGGGAAGTCGGGACACGCGCGTAGTCGGTCGTACCCTTGCCCAAAGGTTATGGCCAAAAGCCGTGCGCATCCCCTCCGATGATCGACGATTCTCCTGTCTTCCCCCTCCGAACATTTAAACACACGCGTTCCGACGACCCTTCGCAAAGGGATGCGCGTGAGTGCAACCACCCGCAAATTTCCAACGATTCGGTTCGTGGAAACAACCAAAGACAACGGAACGCTCATAGCGCGTGTAGGAGGAGGATCCACCGTCTTTTATAACACCCGTACGTACACTGCGTCGAGGACAAATAAAAGGGCGATGGCCCGCGCACACGCAAGGTGTCCGCGGCGCGAGTCGTAAAGTTTAAGTTTATTATTTTTGTCCGTCCAAAGAATAAAAATGTCAGGAAAATAAATTTGTTATTCTCTCGGGCAATCAACCCGCGCGTTGGTAATTACTATTACCTCGAAGTCGATTAGCTGTTTATGAATAATAGATGACGTACTACGCGTGTCTCAAATCATCATTTCAATACATACATATACGTGCACACGGCACGGTAATACACGATGATACATACCTAATTGCTAAACGACAATTTCAAACTCGAAAGTACTGTCCACATAACTACGTAATAATAATAACACTCCCCACGTGTCATAGTTATAAGACTGTATCGATGACAATATTATCGCGTTTTCGTTCAAGTAACTCAATAGCTCTCGGTCATCTTGTTTCAACAATACAGCATTGTTATGTGCACTCCGATGAGTACTGACAGCAAGTTTAGTATAATATACATAATGCTCTGGATTTGGTGATTTGTTCATAGAGTCAGTGGTAAGGTAAGAGTTCAATGCATGACGTGTATACAGCGTGAACTCACCAAGTGTCGCAGCACTCATTGGATACATTTATAAATTTTTCGTAAGAAAAAGATATAAAAAGTGAATAATCAATAACAATCAATCGATATAAATAAACTTTTTTGGCAATTTATAACAATTTAATAACCAAAATAATTATAGTTGGAACGCACAATTCGAATAATTCAATATTTATATCTTGGTTAATTTAAGCTTTGTAGGGAAACATGGGTCAAAGTGGGGTACCGGGGCAAAGTGCTGACATCGTAATATATATATGTTTAATATATAAATATAATAATGTTTTTAGATTTATAGCTTCCTTGGTCATCTGAGATTGTGTGATAAAAGTTTTAATTAAACTATTGATTATTTTGCGATTAATCGATAAAAAACTGTAAGTGTGCCTGTTATCATTTACTTGATAATAAAATTGTATAATTTGTTATAGATATATTAAATTTATTTGTTCTTTGATTATCATATTTTTTTTTTTTTTTTATTAAAAAATGTATACTAATAGTTTTATGATTAACATACTTTATTTGAGTTAAGTTATTTGAATCAAATTAAATCAAAGGCTCTAGGTAAGTTAATTCATTGGGGCAAAATGGTTTATACCTGTCTGGGGCAATATGGGGACCTCCCCACTTTGCCCCAAATCTATTTTCTTAAATTAAAATTATGCGTTTTCAGAATGGTTAGGCGTTATAAAAAAAACCAACCAACATTCCTGGTCTGAAGATTCAATGAAGTCTGCAATATTGGCATACAATAATAAGGATATAGAATTCAAAAAAGCTGCATTATCTTTTTATGTTCCTAAAATAACTCTAGAAAAAAGAGTAAGAACATTTTCAAGAACTGACAATTTAGCTAAAGCCAGCACAAAAGGTAAACTATTATATTTAATTATAACATTTAAAATCCTAATTCAAAATTGCTAAGATATTGGGTTAGGTATACGTGTAATTATCAATTTAAACATCAATTAAATTATCAATTAAAACATTTTGAATATTTTTCTTATGAAACTTTATTTAATATTTAAATATAGAATAATTGTTCTAAGTATTTGAAGTTCAGTTAATAAACTTGACTCTGTAATTATATAGCTCTTGGAAGATTCAAAACTGTGTTTACCGTTAGGCTCAGGATCAGGAGCTGCAATTAGTTTAGTGCATAAAGTCTATAGAGGCACGTCTATTTGATTTGACTTCTTTGGAGTTGAGAAGTTTATCATTTCAACTGGCAGCAAAAAAATAGTATAAGCTATACATTTTGAAAAAATAATTTAGCAGGAGTGGACTGGTTGTACGGATTTATGAAGTGTCATTCAGATTTGTCCTTACGTCAGCCAAAAGCTACTTCAGCTGCTAGAGCATCAGGCTTTAATCCGGTTTCGATTGGTTAGTTTTTTGCTTTGCAAACTGAAGTAGTGGATTAATACAAATGAACAGCTTCACAAATATTCAATGTCAATGAGACTGGGATTACATGTGTTCCAAAATATCACAGTAAAGTAATTGCATGCCGTGGCCGTCGCCAAGTAGGAGCAATAACTTCTGCTGAAAGGGGTCAGACAATAACAGCTGCAATTTGCATGGGTGCTGATAGATCATACATACCTCCAATGCTTATTTTTTCTCGTGTTAGAAGTAAACCAGAGATTATAGATGGTGGACCACCTGGGTCATGGGCTGAAGTTCATCCAAGTGGATGGATATAGACTGATTTGTTTCTTAAATGGTTTGATAAATTTGTAATTTTTTCCAGAGCATCTAAAACCCATAGGATTTTACTTTTGCTTGATGGCCATTCTACCCATACTAAATCATTAAAACTTATAGATAAAGCTAAAGATGCTGATTGATGTTATATTGCTTCCCACCTCACTGCACGCATAAACTTCAACCATTGGATGTAGCTTTTATGAAACCACTAAGCTTATATTACAGTGGTGAAGTTAAGAGTTAGCTTAGGGAGCACGCTAAAGACCACAGAGTTGTCACTCAGTTTTAAATTGCATCGCTTTTTGATAAACCATATTTAAAAGCAAAAAGTATGACAACGGCCATCAGTGGCTTTAGGGCAATAGGCATTTGGCCAGTAGATGCCAACATATTTCAAGAACATGATTTCCTAGCTAGTTCTGCTACTAACATTGATTTAAATGTTTCGATAACAGCAAATCAATCAAATAATTCAAATAGTGTGTTACCAGTTGAACCAGACATTTCAACTCCAAATATACAAATAATAAGTCAACAGTTACCCACAGTTCAACCAGCAATTATAAATCCAAGTGTAAAAACAAATAATAACTCAATTCTTTCTCTAACACTACATGATTCACCAGGATGTTCTCATTGGCCAGTAGGTACTGAAAAACCAGTTAGAAAAGAATTTTTTGCTTTATCTCCTGAAGAATTTTTTCCTATTCCTAATAGTAATAAAACCACTGGACGTATATCGAAGATAAAAGGAAAAGCAGCAATTCTCATTGATTCACCATACAAAAATGAGCTTCTATTTGCTAACATATGTGCAACACCCAAACCAGTAAAACGTTCTTTATCATTCGGCCAAAAAAAAAAAAACAACCGAGAAAAATCTTAGTAAAAAACTAAAATTAACAAAAATGATGAAACTGTCTATATTGCAGTGAGTCAATTCAACTTCAATTGATGGGTGGATCCAGTGTTTGTTGTGTAAGAAATGGACTCTGTCTTTGTACTGGAATCAAAAAAACAGATTATGAAACAATATTTAACTGCGAATTTTGTTCCTAAAAATATTTTAAATTATGTAAAAAAGTTAAAAGTTACAATTTATGATATTATTTTTTATGTTAAATGGTACCCATACCTTTGGCAAAGTGGGGTAAACTATACTTTTTTTTATATTCTTTGAAACTTCGAAAAAAAACCCAAATTTTCATAATAAATACTTAATCAATAACAACAACTTATGGATTGTGTGAAAAAAAATTTAAAAGGAAAAAATTAACTTTTAAGTGAATTACAAACCTTCAAACATTATCGTCCCCACTTTGTCCCATGTTCTCCTAATGTATATGTACTAAATCGTTTTAATTACCTCGTATATTATACTGATATAAGCTTCAGGTGAATTGTTTAACTTCTTAAAATTAAGACAAGACGACTTTATGGGTGGTAACACAGACGAAGAAACGAAAGTCAATTATTTTCAAAATGGAAAAAAGATGAAATAGCGATTCAATGTTTATATTAATTTCATTAATTAAAACCTAACCTTTATCTATACTTTCTATCAGAACTTTCTACTAAATACGCTTTCCAGTGGCGTATATAGAAGGGGGGTGCCTAGTGAGCTACAGCCCCCCCCCCGAAATGCTAAAAATTATTTTAAACGTTTGTTATATTTTAATGGTGCTTTATGCTTATTTAGAAATAATTTTATAAAAAAAAATAAAAAATGATTTTAACCGGGTTGTATTTATTTTATTTAATTGTACTTCAATAGTTCATTAAAATGTTTTAAGGTTCTCAATTTATGGTTCAATGCTAATTATTAAGAGTTAATTACTCTTACTTACTCGTTAATTACTCGTATATAATAAATAAATTATAACTGTATACCTAATACGAGTACATTTTATTCATAGCATATTTTGTTATAGAAATAGTCCAGTAGACATGTATATATATATATATTAAATAGTCAAGTACCACATCATATATCTTTTGTTCATAAATACAGGATTATACTTACTACAGGAAATACGTAAATAATGTGATCAGTCGAGACAATTTTTATTGCCTTTGTCAAAGAGTTTTGGGACATTCTGTAAATGAAATGTAGATAAGTACCTACTGCGTCTTGTTAGTAATTCTTATATAGCAGTGGCAATTTAACTCTGTTCATAGTAGCCCCTACTGAAAAAGTTTTCCGTATACACCACTGACGATCGCAGTTCAACAGTTACAGAAATTCAACCGTTGATCTCTATTCAGTTAGTTGTTCTCGTATGTACTCTTTATTTATGGATTTAAAACAATTATTTTACTTTTTTTATTAAATAAGTAAATTATTTATTAAATAGTAAAAGTGTACGATCTCATTGTAAATCATCGAAATAATAATCGGTATAATAAAGTTGTCTGATCCAATGGAAATATTAAAACACGTTGCACATCAGTTCTTCATGGATTTTTTAATCGAAATATTTTTCCGCGACGTGCACGCCGTATATATGCATGAAACTTATGTAAATCGGACATACGTGACCGTTGTTCGGTTACGGCAATAAATCGCGGTGGCGGCGCGCGGAGACGTTAACGCGCCACCGCGTACGCGAGCGAACACGTTTCGGATTTTCGGGCGAATATAAAACGTAACGAAGACGTGTGCGCCGTATTACAATCGTACCGCGTAAGACGCGGATTTACCGCGTTATGCCGATGTGTACATCACGAATATTTATTATGCATGTAAAACAACAATAATAATAACGTGCTGGCGGTAGGAGAGACACGAACCGACGGGCGAAGACTGCGCACAAAACGGAAAGAATAAAGAAAAAACGAAATCCTTTTCCGCCATTAATCTCTTGCGCTTTCTTCTCTCCGTACGCGCGTGATGTATTGCCCCGTTGTGCGGTTCGCACACGACTCTTTCGTCATACGGACTAACCACGGCGGCCGTGCGCGCATACCTGAACACGCAATACGTATATAACACTTGCACGACGGCCATGGCCGAACGTACATCGGTAATACACTACCGCGACGTACATATTATTATTTAAATGTATTTGCGCGCGCGGGTAACTGTACACCTCGTGTAAAACGTACGTAAGACGGCACTTTTGACCACACGGCGACGACGATTGTTTGCGCTCCGTACACGTTTATGCGCGTACGCTTGCATATATATTTTTACACGTAAACAGTTAGGTGGGCTGTAACCTATCCAACCGCCGTTAATCGTTTGATTCCTATGAAAAATAAAAAATTATCAAACTGCTATCCGCGACTGTTGCCAGTCCCCTCGACTACTTTTCCAAAACGAAACAAGTTTAAACGTCTCGTGCGATAGATACGACTAAAACATTAAGTTTGCACGGAATATCGATCGCAAGTTTCAGGGCCGCATTACGGTCATAATATGAGGGGCTATTGCTTTTAGTGAGGCCCTTTTACGAAAAAACGTTCCGCTTTTTTTTTTTTCTTCAGATTTAGTGATTTGTAATGAATATCAACTAAAACAAGTTTGATTTATTTGTATATTGTTGAAAATTATAACATTTTATTATTTTAACATATTTATTTTTTGCCGTTTTATATGAAAAAAAAGTTTATAGCTCATTGTGGCCCCTGTCAACTATAGATATACCTCCCCCTTGATCCAGCCCTAGCAAGGTTCGTCGATTGGTTATTAATCCATAGCTGTGCAGAATATTCTCGATGGATCAACGTTTTTAATGGCTATAGTACTTAGAGTTCAAATAATTAAGTATTATGGAAATATTTTTGTTGCGTCTATTATAAAGAAAAATTCGAAGGGCAAGCAATTTGTTTTAATCAGTCAAATTGAATTTCAATTAAAAATACATGCATTGTTTAAAATTCACATTCCATAACATGTATACGTGTTTTGAAAGAAAAAACGGTAATTAAAAGTAAGCGATTGATTGATATCAACATGTGTTTTTTTATTTTAAAATGCTTAAGATCTTGAACTAAAAATAATGAATTTTTTTAAGTTAAGCATGTATAAAGTAATTGAATACAGTAAACTTCGTAAAAACATTGACAAAACGGATAACAGTATTTATAATGAAAAATTAGATTAAACAGAATAAAACTAAACGAAGAACAAAAAAATAAAATTTTAAGGAAGTAAGATATAATAATAATATTATTATATTATTAAACGTCCGTTACAGCAATTTTTTATAGTAAGAGCATGCCTCGGGAACAAAATTTAAAATAGTATAAGAGCGTCTTTTGTCTTTTTCGTGCTTACAATTATGTTTTTAATCGCTATAATATATAGTCGTTGTCATTCTTAAATAGACGAGATACGCAACATAATTATTACAAATACTATAATCCACTCGCGCCCACGTCGATTTATTTGAAATTAAAGTAAAGGTATACGCGTATTGTTTTAAACCGCCTTATTCCTGCATTGAATATAAAATATTCAATCTGTTGAAACACTTACTATAATCATTATTTATTGTTCATAATTATTTAAAGGGTATTTTATAAAAAAGTCTGAAATACTTTAAAAGTTGGTTTATAAAAATCAAATTAATTACTGCGAGAATATTATATATAATATTATATAATTACACGAGAAAGCACAATTATTCCTATAAGCTGTTCACCAAATAAAGCTTTTTCATTCCGATCAAACACCAACTGCATCGATTTTGTATTTAATATATCATGATATAGTGTTTGTCCCTATAAGATATAACACAGCAATCAGATTATTTATGATAACACTTATAACAACAATCAGATATTTTTATGATTTTTATAATTGTTACTTTTTTATAACGTATAAACCAATTTATTGAGTATAGCCTATTCCAATTTATTGTTTGCAAGTGAATATTTTAAATCAAAAGTATTTTTCGGTCGATTGATTTGTGATTTTGTGATCCATACAATGAAATATAGCTTTTTCATGTTGACAGATTTCATCCCTCAAATCAGTTTTTATTGGAGTGTCACGCATATTGTATTTATGTATAATTTGTATACATAAAAAAAAAATAAAATATTATTATAGTACTATAATACATGAAAGGAAAAAGTTCTTTTTACATAGACATAATACTGATAAAATCCAGATAACAATCGATATTGTATGAAAAATATAAATACATGTACAATTAATAAACCCAATATACAATATTAATATTATAATTATTATTATTTACAATATTAACTATATTATAACGTTTTAACAAATTAAGCATATTTCCAACTTTTTTAGCAAATACACTCAGGTCGATACAAGCGAAAAAACGAACAGAGAGATGAAGAAGTCGGTAAAGAAGTCAACAAATGAATGATGAAAAATAAGAGGCGATTAAGATGATACGAGGAAATAATTGATGAGGGGATGAGAAATGTGAGACCCTTCAAAGGTGGAAGTTATGGAGGCGAGAGTGGCCGACCTTTGATAACAGCAGAGAAAATGACAAAAAGAAAAAAGCAGACATATCGTTGCTGGTGAGTAGAATAATCTTAATCACTTTTTAAACTTTTAAATATAAGATAAGAAATGAATTCCAAATTAATCGCATATCCTGTGTTCAAAGAAATCAATTTCTAGTTTTTGTATGATATTTTTTTTTTTTTTTTACCGAAATTGCTTATACTCGTAAGCACACAAACGGGTAACGATTTTTTTCACCATATGCCGAGCAAAAGGTTCGATATTTAAATACGTTTATAATAATAATAACGTATTCCGTACCCATGTCTACTTCCAGCCACTTCGACCACTGAATATATAGACAGCCTATTATACACCAACAGGCTATAATACACTGGCAGGCTTACGCGTTATTAGTGTTACCGTCGACTTTTCGCGAAACATATGGGTCACGTAGTAACACAGTGAGTATGCTTACAAAGTACTCGTACGCGAGCACAAATCAATATATCATCGCGGTTAATACACACGGACACTTATTATAAGCGGTTTTTTTTCTTTATTATTATTATTTTTAAGCTCGCCTTCCGTCGTCGTTCGGAAGCCTTTTTCCGAGACACATGAATGGCGCACAAATAATAATAATAGGTGCCGGGTGACACCATTGTATATTGTACACCACCGCTACGTAGCGTATAAATGTGCATGCATGCGAAGAGACGAACGAACGCTACTTTCTAAGTATATACATAAACACATTTTTTTTTTTAATAATCCAAGTCGTTAAACTAAGTACACGTCTTTTGATCATTTTTTCCGATTTTATTTTGTATTTTCCTTTATTTGTAATTCATATTATTATTTATCGTATATTTATATGTATCTGTGTACACCCATAATGTTATACTATTTATACATAATGTAAATGGAATGGTTATTATTGTTTTTAATTCCCCAGCATTCCTCTTTTTACTGTTGCTCCGTACGCATATCGCGCACTCCTTCCGATGAAATCTGTAAAACAAAACAAAAAATACTTTTAGACCGATAGCGATCAAATCCAAACAAATGTACTTCAATAATTGTGTTCAATGCAAAACCTGCATTGAAATGCTACCCATAATATGTTTGAACTATAATATAATTAGTATAAATGTTTAGACGTCGCAATAGCTAGCGGTAAAACGTATATTTCATACGTGTCACGATGTAATTAATTCATAAATTCAAACCGATTAGATGTGCACGAAACAATGTAGAAAATTCACAAGAATTAATCGCAACGAAAATAATAAACGTCTAAATACATTATAATCTTAAAACTTTTGAGTCCTGATCTAATATATACAACAGTTCAAAATAAATTTAATAATTTATACAAGGAAATTCGATTTTAATTCAGCAGCGCATATTACTGTTTAAACGATTGTTTTGACAAATTGACAATATTTATAATTCATGTATACATACAATTGTTCATAATAACCTTAATCATTTATGAACGGAAACTCGATTTCAACTCACCAGCGTATATTATTATTCATATAATTTTGTCAAATTGACAATATTTATATTAAACATGCACACATATGACTCTGTTGGTAGTATAAGTTTTATTATAGCCTCGAATTATCTTAAAACACTCGAATTGCTTCAAATTGTAAGAACCCTGAACTTTCATCGTCCAGCACTTTAGAAATAAAGTATGCGTATCAAATCACATAACTGTGAATTCCACGAGTGATAGCTGTAATTTTTCAGTGAGTTAAGTTTCACGCCAGAGTTGCATATATATATACGTTATATATATAATGTATAATATACATGTGTGTATGTGTATATTATTTAATCATTCGAGATTATTGAACGGTCAGGTGCAAGCGATTTGACTAAACTAGAAAACAAATTAACAAACGTACGCACAATGACTATTGGAATTCGAGAACTATGAAATGATAATAGGTCACAAATATATGTATTTACTCGTAACCGTTATACAGCGATCAAATTAATCAAGAACAAAATATCGTTTTTACCTTTGACGAGGAAAAAAATAAATAATCAGCTAACTGTGCGCAACAATATGTTGTCTTCCAAATTTATTGTTTAAATTAATCGGTAGTAATAAATTATGTACGTTGAATGCTGCGTGTATGAAAATATTAATCATTGCAGTATAATATAATATACTCACCGCGAATTGAGCGGCAGAACGGCTGTGCTCCACGCTTTTCTTCAATAAAGCCGTATACCCATTTGAACTGTTTGGAATTTTGCTCAACAAAAGTCTGTACTGAACGCGATGAGCAAATGTTTCCCCTAATGCCGAGGAAATTTCTGTACCCTTTTCGTGCACTACAGTAGTCAGGTCATTCGTTAGTACTACCTATTATGACAGACTAATTAGTCAAAGAATATACCAAAGCAATATAAATATATACGGTTATCAAAATGATTATACATTTTTCAAAATGAAATAAAAGTAATATGAATTTCTTATACAAGATCACACCTACACGTTAGTGGGCGCACCCACTACCAAAATATAACAAAAGATAACAATGGTCGAGTCAATAATTAATATAATTACAGATCGAAAACAAGTACAGAAATCAGTATGCTCACTACAGCGATACTGAACATATTCATGAAAATGGAACCTGCAGTAGGTCCAAAACTTACTATCGAAGAAAGGATCCGATAAAAAAAATATTATTATTAAAAGATTAAACCTATTCATTTCTACATTATAATACTTTAAAATAGTAAACCTAAAAATTCCTAAAATATATTCATTAAAACCGGCCAGTAAAAAAAAATTAATACACAAGTTTAAAGTTATGAAAAGAAAAGGAAGATCATTTAAGTTTATATGTAAGTACTTATAGTATGTAAATATTTATAACAGTTAATATTACAGGTCTACATAAAATATTTAGTCTATGAACACTCATAATTATGATTAGCCTAAAAAAAATATATAAGCCAATTAAACTCATTAAACAATCCCGTAAAAATATCTGAAGGATTTTTTAAGGTCTCGAATAAAGCATTCCATTTTCAAGAAGTACATTCAATTTCTGTAAAAACAATTAACCCTGATATTTAATCACATGTAAATAAACTTCAGTTCGCATTTCAGCAACAAAAATATAAGATTAAAACGCATACGAGTATGTAAACATCTTAAAATGAACGGACTAAACTGAACAATATTGTCCAATAACCATTTTTTTCTCTACGTCAAAATTAAAGCTTTTATGTACACATATGTATGTATACATGTTTATTTTTTTAGATCTACTATCATAATTAAAATCGAGAAATTGCAGTGGGTTTAATGGTGAAAATTAAAACATAACAATAACTACGTCATCACTTACAGCTAGATTATGTTCAGAGGCGATCGATTGTAATAAATCAAGAGCACTGTGAACGAGCATGTTCTTTCTCGTCGAATTTTCTATTGTGTACAGTGGCATGACAAAACTGTCCACCACGATTAATTTTACCTGAAACGACAAGATAAAACACGTCAACACTAGCGACTTATAATAACAATAACAATAATAAAATAAATTGTATACGAAAATTATGATTGTTCGTTATAATAAATAATATACGTTTGGATGCTGTTCGAGTATTGTATACAAAGTGTGCAGCTGGTTTAGGTCATTCATTTGAACCCTGTGTATTTTACTCAGCATGCTAGCGGCAGTCAAACTCTTTAGCAATTCGCTGTTGGCTCCTTTGAAATCGTTGGGTCCCGACAACACTTTAGACACATGGTCAAGGAAACCGTCAATCATTTCTGAAAACAAACGAGCCACTTGATAACATCAAGTCTACAAATAAGATACGTCGATAAACATAGCAAGACTAAAATGTGTTTGCACAATGCGAATTTAGTATTTTTATTGTACCTGTGTATAATGCGTGTATAATTGCATAAACGAAATATACATTTACACGAAAAGTTAAAAAGATTTATAAAATATTTATCTTTTATGTTTTGTATTGATTACTTATTCTAGATCAAAATAAGACTTTAAATTAAAATGTATTAGGTATACAAAGCTCGACAAATATAATGAAACAAAATAATTTTATTCCATGTCGAATCTTATTCAAGTATTTACCATGAGCAATCTCTGTCCGAAAATTCGAACGAATCAATAAACCTATACACATACATATTATAAGTTCATATTTTAATTAAAATAATACTAAAATAACAGTTATTAAATCTAAGTATATATAAAAGAATAATTTATTCGTAAAGTACGTACCTGTTAATCGGAGTTGTGAAAAATTTGAATTGGTGTCCACATAAATGGCTTCGGACTGTAAGCCTTCGAAACATATAGGTATTTGAACAGAAACACAGAGTTGCATACTAAAAATTATTATGACAGATCAAATTAAAATAGAATACAGTTTATTGGAAGTGAAAATTAATTGGGACTATAAAAATATACCTACCACAGTTGACTTTTTCCTGATCCTGGAGCTCCAGACAGTTCCGTTATTCGTCCAAGTTGAACGCCACCGTTTAAAAGCTCGTCTATAGCCTTGCAGAAAGTAGCTATACAATCACATTCTTCTTCCTTTAATAGTTAATTATTTTAATACATAAAATGTATGATTTATTGTTATATTATAATTTATAACTAAAAGTAATAAATTAACAATTAATTTCTACAAACATGAGAACCAGGGCCGTCGCCAGAACTATTTTGCTCCAGGCCCAGTCAAGAAAAATGTAATGAAGCCTCCTTAAAGTTCAGATTGATCAAAAATACTCGATGTTACCCATTAAAAATTATTGATATTAATATATGATATTATTTCTAAACTATTTTTCTTTATGAAATATTAATAAATTAACTTAAATTTATATTTAAGCACTATTATGTAAGGCTCGTATAGGCTATATTTTCATTTATTCTAATTTCTAAATAGTTATAACTAAAATTTATTATGGTTGATGCCGAAGTGTCAAAAATGGCATAATTACAAAATTTTATTCAAATGTACGTAAGAATTCGTTATCGCAAGTATCGACGTGACAACATTCAAGTTCTTATGTTCTATGGCTGTTTACAAATTATCTATGAACAAATAAAATATAATTAAATGTGATAACTGGTAATATATCATATTATTGAGAAGTTATTAAAAATGTAATTCATTGTATCATTGCATTTAAATGACCTTAATTTATTGAAGTTTGAAAAACTATATTTACCAATAATTTGGTAAGTATTTTTCTTATTTACTCGTATATTATTGTGATGGTTGAAAGGCTCCAGAATTAATGTGCCCCAGGCCATAAAAAATCCTTTGAACGGCTTTAAAGAGAGCACAATATTATATACGTATATAGGTGTTTGTTTTTATTGAGCTATCCTACATATTTTGTTCTAAACTGGCAATAAACAAATTGTAATTGGTATTCCATTTTCACTTACAAGTAGTTCTGCAGCACACATGGGTTTCGGAACTTTAAGCATATCACGAATATCAGATTCCGATTCCAAATGTTTTCGCAAATATTTTGATTTTTGTTGAGAGTCATCTATAACATTATAACAATTATTTTAAAGTTAGTATACTTTTGATCGTAAAAAAATAATTACATTTAATTCTATCGAATCGTATAATAAATATTTAGAATAAATAATAGTACCCAAATAATATGTTTATAAATTGTAGAGATTGTATTTATACATCTTCGGACGTATTGACGAATAAATAGTATCAAATAAAAATAAAATATCATACCAAGTGAGTCGATCAAATCTTCACAACATTTGTATCCTAGTTTATTCAGCTTGTTGATCATAGGTTTGCTCAAAGGCAATGTCCAAATAGGCCGGTTCATGGTTCACTCTGCGGCGGAAACAATTTAGGTTAATGTAAAATCATGACAAAAGAAGAAATAAATGAAAACAAAACGATCCAAATGCAGTTCAATTGCATACGCACACAGTGACAAGACACGCATTTAATTGTATCACGGATACTACATACTGGAATATGAAGTTTACGGTTGAAAATATAACAATATGGGTCAAAGACGAATCCATTAGGTTTTATTTTTTTTTTTTTTTTAATTACTTTGACAGTTCTCCGGTGGTCAAAATCTCATATATAAAGCCCACCCGCTAGTTTGTAATTACCATAACCAATTTATTATTCAAAAAGTTCACTACACTAATTGTTAACCATGATTATAACTATTGTTTTAACGAGTTTGATGTTGACGTATGATGCGGTTTATGGAAATTATCACAGCAGAAACACTACGCTACACAAATATGGGTAAGCCGTTATTATTACCTAGGCAACAGGTACTTAAACTGACCAATAACCGTATCCTTAATTTTTATGATCTTTAAACAATAATACATAAAACCGACGATTGACATAAGATTTTATGTAATCAAAAACATAAACAATAACCGTATTGTGGGAATCCATCAGAACGTGGTAAAACGTGCAATATTATGATAGTATTCGTTACGTTAAAGCCCATATACAACAATTAATGCAACGTATTCATCGAACGCACAACTGTACATCAATTTTTATCGCGTTACCTACTTTCTAAACAATAAAACTGAACATTTTCTGTCAACGATTTTGTATCATACTAACTGCCCGGTTGAAAACGTGCGGAAAACAAACTTTATCTAAAATTATTTCCGAAACTCGTAATTGGAATATATTCCGTACGCGTGAACGCGTTTCCGGTCGCAGTGCATTTTATACATTAAAAAACGTCTCGGGAACGTTTGAACGAGTGTTAATTCTGCAGTCGCATACGCCTCGCACGTATATTACCGTTATCGTGTGAAATTGACGAAACTGGAATCACAACGATTCGCCCCTAAAACCTTATTGTACATAGCGTACGTAAGACTGGGTTTAGGTAGGGGCCCACGGGGCCTCCACAAGATTCAATTAATAAGAGGCCCTCACGAAATAATTACTTTTTTTTTAATTTTTCTAATAATTTGCAAAAAAATGTTCTATTTTTTTTTAAGTTTGACAAAGGGCGCTATTTGTGTATGATAAGCGAATCACTGGATTGGGATTGGCAATTTTCCACTACTACTACTTAATTATAAATATAATTACTCAACTATAGTGTTGAGTGATGGGTTAGTCATCATAATAGTAATTTGAATTTCAAAAATAAGATTATTTCGTGTGTGTTGTATAAAAAAAAAAAGAAATGACTTTAAAGGTTACTTGTATTTACTTATTAATTGTATTAACATTTTATAAATCTGTATTAATTATGTTCAATAAGCAAAATTGATGTGATAAGAAATTAATAGCACGATGAGGGAATAGCTCATCAGTAATATAATTGAATATTTTAAGTGTTAAAGTATGTAGATCAACTAAAAACTCTTACATTTCAATCTTATGTGGGCTCTTTGGCCCCCACAACCCTAAATCCGACCCTAGGCGTACGAATTGCGAGGGATCGATAGCATACGCGGGCAATACAAAAGTACTACACGCAGTTTCGTTTTCCAGGCCCAACGTGTGCGCGTTCGAGGAGGTGCTGTCCGGCAACGGAGCGTACATGTACAGGGAGCGCAGCCCGCAGGACAACCGCCAGCAGCAGACTTGCGGACGGAACACGTTGAGTTGCTATCCCTACCCCGCCTAAGCCCGTCGACCGCGGTCGTCCTTTTTTTATTTTAACTTATCCATCTGTTTATTTTTTTAATGCCCGTCTCCCGTGTAGGGTTCTGAGGTATGACTGCTGCGAGGGGTTCAAGTCGACGAATAATGGCCGTTCTGGATGCACTGGAGGTAAGTGAACTTAGCATGTTTAAACATTACCGCTGTACAGCATCTAGTAATTCTTGTGTGGATGAACCTGTCAAAAAACGTTTCCATAGTGAAATCGCCAAAGAACGTGTTGGAAACCGCTCAAGAACTTGGCGCCCACACGTTCGTCCAGTACGTCCAACAGAACGGCTTGTACGATTTCTTCACCAAAAGCGGCCCGTACACGTTGTTTGTTCCTACCGACGAAGCTTTTGCGGTAATTTCGTTGACCCTATATTATGGTAATTTTGCGCCGACCATTTCATCAAATTCGTTTATCATACAATCAGAATATGGACAGTACGCTCGGAGCGGCGTTGGAGTCGTACGAATCGGCCCCCGAGATACTTAAATACCACGTGGTACCTCGGAGGATCGTAACATACAACGCATCGGTCGACGAAACGTTCAACACCTTACACAGCGGATCGAAATTGAGGTTTAATAAGTACTCCACCAAAGTAAGCGACATTTCCGAAGCATAAATCGAAATTTGAAATACGTGTACGTTAAGATGTATTATATATATAGTAATGATGTATATAGTGCAAATCACAGGTTGTACATTGAATTAATGGGTTCAAAATGTACATATCGTGCACACGAACAATGTAAACGAACAAATGATTTTTAGAAATGTTATGCATACAATTATAGAAATGTATTCATTATTTACGTATTTCAATACTTCATGATGTATCTAAAATGTTTAAAATTATTATATAAATTTTATTTCAAACATTTTAACCAACATTAATGTGTATCGCAACGGTAATGTTATAAATTATTCAATGATCTAAACTAGTATTTTTTTTGAAGAACACTAATACAAATTTGATTACATTTTACAGATAGAAACAATAAATTGTGTTACCTTAATGCGAAAGAATCGCATCGCACAAAACGGAGTGGTGCATTTGATAAACACCGTACTAAACCCTTACAGTTATACAAATCGAAATTTAGTACAGATTATCAATCAGGTCTAAGAAAATTTAATATTTTTCACTATTGATAGTACGAATTATAATATTGATATTGCAGAACAAAGAATTGACGATATTTTCAAAAATGATTGAAATGTCACGTATGCATCAGAGCCTAAAAGAAACGTTCCAGTCACTTACGGTTATGGTTCCGACCGATATCGCATTACAACAACTTCTTCCACAAAGCCAACTTCGAAGGATACTAAACGATGAATCACTTAGCAAAGGTATTTTATTTTGTTTTATTTTATTTTATTATACGGGCTAGGCTCTTTTTGAAAATAACATTTGAGGTAACAATTTGTACAATAATTTAAAGAAGAGTAATAATAATAATAATGAAAATAATGAAAATGTGGTTAAGTTATTAACAAATCGTCAAAGGCAGGATCTTCATTGGCAATCGACATTAGACGCCTTAAGGGTTCATTAGCCATATAGTTGGTGGTAGAGAACGGAACATAGAAGGAGGCTGGAGATCGGGATGAATAAGATGGGACTTTAAAACAGATTAAGGAAAGCAGGATAGGTGAATCGATATCATTGTTTAATAGACCTGCAAGGAATTTAATGCCAGTGATACGTCGACGCTCAGCTAAAGAAATCAAGCCAAGGTTTGAAGCTACTAGCGTATAATTGTGAGGGGTACACGGAATATTTAGTTTTAGGCTAGCATAACGAAGAAATCTGCGTTAGACATTCTCAAGTTGTCTTGACTTATCAGCAGTATGAGGGTCCCAAATTATAGCCCCATACTCCAAAATGGGGTGCACAAGTGCACAAAAAAGTGCTTTTAACGATAAATTTAGATTAAAGTCTTTTGTAAATCGCATGATAAAACCATGACAAAACCACCAAAGGTATGAACGAGTAATAAAAATAATAGTAATCGATTTTGTCAATGTATAAAAATCATAGCATATTAAACGAAATATTCATAATTATATCACTTAACATTCAAAATGGAAGTTATTTTATTACAACACAAAATAATTGAGTACTTCAAAATCTATAAACCCATATGGCGAGGTGTCAAAAAAAATTCAGTTTTACACCTTATTGCATACAAATATTTATTTTTCAATTTGGTATTGTATAATTAAACGATAATCATTATAAAATAGTATTCTACAATAAATTACGAAAACATTCAAATTATTTATTAATAATAATAAAAAAAAAATACATAATATGATCCATAATTTTTATTTATTATTATTATTTTATCTGACATCACACAGCATTTGTCTTAAAACACCTGCTGCCAACACCTGTTTGTCCGAGTGCAGTTACTGCAGATCTATACGTCAAAAGTCTAGCGAACAAACATTATGTCAAGTTTGGTTGTGATGGGATAAACTCGATAACGGTACAGGGACATTGTATCGGTAACGATTTGAAATTTTCGGCGAACGGGATCCTGTATCAAATAAATTTCGCTCTAAGCACCGAGGAAGGTAAACAGTTGGAATATATTACATAAAACAGCGTATTATTCCATGTACTTAATATAATAAAAGCAAATTAAGTAATTATAATAACAGAACAATATTTTTATCGTTTACAACAAATATGTTATTGAAAATAAAATTTACCATCATGCCATACTGTAACAACATAAACGTTTCATCAAGATTGTATTGTGTTATAGATGCCTGTTATTAGATATTTTATGGATGTTATTTTTTTTTCAGGGAGATCGATGTTGCAAATAATGCAACATTTAGGACTAAGCGAATTCGTTCGGATCATAAATATCGCTGGACTTACGCAAACATTTGAAAATGTCAATGCACTAACCGCTTTTGTACCGACCAACAAAGCTATAAAATGTGAGTTGTAATTTATACGTACTGAGTGTCTAAAAATATTGAAAACCATTTCATAAACATTTTTTTTTTTAAATCCCATTATACTATGTATCACATACGAAACCCATGTATAAGATTGATGACAACCGGTCGTTACCCAATAATGCGATATACATTTATAATTGACAAAACGTGTTTTTTTTTCTTTTTCTGTACGTACACTATAGGCATGAATACCATGGAACTTTATCACATCCAATCCGATTCGAGTGTCGCTAGGTCGTTTGTGAACTTCCACGTGGGAAAAGAGTTAATAACAGCCGAAAATATTTACGACGGTAAAGTCGTCGAGAGCTTAATCCGCGGGAAACGACTACATCTTCAGTGTGTCCAGAACGAATTTGGAGTCGAAGGACGCCGACTCGATTTTCAAACACCAGTCGGCTACAACGGGGTCGTCCACGTGGTAGACGAAGTACTTTATCCTCCGGTAGTATGCGTCGAAGACCTCGTAAAGGGAAACAACAGTTTCAGGTAATCCTCCTTGCCGTCACAACTGTCGAGGTCACATACCACCTCCTCAAAATCGCTATCTCGTACGCAAAATCTCAGTGTACACTTAATGTACACACAGAATTGTAGTACAATTGCATTCTAATTGAGAAAATTTACGCACTTGGTCGGGGAGGCACGGAATTTGTGTATGTACTATGCATGATGCACTTGTTTATTTGAATCGTTACATATTGAGCGCAACCGACGGATACACATATCATAGATATTGTATCCATCATTTGTACATAATAGTCTTGCAAGACTGGTCATATTATTTATTGTCTTAATGGCATGTACTTCGTACACAAGAATAATAAAAGCGATAATACGTAAAGGAATGGGTATATCTAATTCAAATTTGTATAATATATGAAATGGGCAAAACAGTTTTTATATTTAAAGAGGAGTGAATAAAATTTTTTTAAGATAGGCTATTTTACGCAGTTTGTACACGCGAGCGATGAACTTGTTGGGTGTCACACCTCGGACGTCGTTTGAGTTTTACGGCAGCCAAAACACGTTCTTCATACCAACGGACTACGCGTTTGAGAAACTCGGAGATATCGAGTTGAATAGGATATTCAATAATCCATCACATCTGCAAAAAATCTTGAACAACCATCAAGTCAATCGGATCCTACCAACGAAATTGTTCAAAGAACGTTGGCAGTATGAAATACAAACCAAAAATGAAATCGTTCGCATCGTGAACAGGGGCAACAAGTTCACGGTACAATACAAATAAACGCTTTTTAAGAATTTGGTTCTTTCTTTTTGATCTTCTGGAAATTATTCACTGTAACTATAATCTTTATTCTAGGTCAACAACGCAGAAATAGTCGAAACCGACATAATGACGACCAATGGACTGGTTCACATAGTTGACGATTTAATATTTCCTTCGTGAAACCGACGGAGTATCGAATAGACGAAGACCAACGATATTACACTCATAACAATTTTAGTTTATGTTTATTAACAAAAGTATATTAAACAATTAATAGTGATAACATACAACAGTGTCAATTTTTTTTAGTAACATAAATGTCTACATTGTACTGTCATAACAAATTTACGTTTTAGTACATTGATAATATATATTTAACAAAATTATTCTGTATAAGTCAAAAAGAGTTTTTTGAGTAAATAAATAACAACATAATAAATACATGTGTACACGTTTTTGCGAAAAATTACAAATACTCGTATGTATATAGAAAAGAAATAAATCAGTTTCTAACAAAATATTTTATATACTCGTATAAGTCGGTGAACGTACTAAGGATTGATTTTGAGTGAGATTATTTAATTGTCGTGTTCACACTTAGAAAATAGTACATCACTATTACTGTTTAATATAGCAAATGCGGGTGAAGCGATATAAGATGATTTATGCATCTTACTCTTTACATTTCATTAATGTGTGATTCGAATTAAACGTCCACGACCTCATGACAAATCGTTTAAAATAACAAGACAAAGGAAAATATTTTTATATACTTCAAATTTCTAGTAGTAACAATGGGAAGTATTATAAAACAATATGTTGTGAATTATGATACTTTCAGTTTTTCTAATCATTATACATACAAATAAGACGTATAGTAAATATCACATCAAATATCTAAATAATGATTTTTAATTTAAATTAGATATCATGGAAATATAAATACTATAGAACAACGTTATCATAGAAAGGCATATTAAACATAGACTAATTTTAATTATGCTCCGTCATATTCTAATAGAAAGTAGATTAGTATCTAAGATACTTTACATTGTACTAATTTTTATTATGTGAATGTTATAGATTCTCAGTGAAGCGATAGATTTTACAATGATCTTTTTTTCTATTTAACTTTCGGATACTAGAATAACATCAAATAATGAATAGGTGTACGAACTCCTAACCTAACCGGATGTCAAACAAGCGCTATTTTCGCGTTCATATCACTTCTCTTTAAATATTAAATAATAGTTTTAGACTTAAATGTTTAATGAAAGCTCATTCGTATGCAATATACTATCGTAACTAATTTAAAAACATAAAAATCAGAGCTTTTATTACTTAAATAATTAAAATCTTGAGTAATGAGAATTTTAAGATAAAACATTCAATATGTATAAGTATACTACTATTCTGCGCTTTGCTAAGGTTTAGAGATAGATTTATAAAAACGATATCTTAATACTAACCATAAAATACGAATGTAAACAACATCATTTTTAGTACAATTGATTTTCCAATCTTGAATTAAGACATAAGAAGATCCGACTTATTGACCGGTGTATTTTAATTATATGTAAGCTTTTTTCTAGATATTTCATACAAATTTGAAGTACTTCAACACGTAATTCGAGTTTTATTTAATTTCATTTGGAGATCTTGAAAATTATCCCAGCAGTCTAAACGACCAGCATTACATTAATGAACCAATATTTTTTCAAAATTGAAAGTCATAACGTACAAGTTAAAATTTGTAATTTAAAAAAAAAATCGATTTTTAAAAGCATATTTCATTAGTGTTTGGTGCGCAATTTCCATATACAATTTTGTTACATTCACAGCCCTAGTCATAATCCCTGCCTTAGAACTCGGTTGACCGGTGCCTTTCGAAAACTGTAGTAACAGCACATACACTTTAGACTTTCACCGTAGACACGTCTATGATAGTGATATACGGTTATAGTTCTGAAGTCACTATAGTTTTGGATAGGTCTCAACTCGCAATAAATAATATTTCATCTTTTCAATTATATCAACAACGCGTGTTTCGAATCGTGTACAATTAGAAAAACGCTATGAAATAAATAACAGATAAACACCAACACTGGCGTACTAAAAAAAAAGATTTTTAGGTTCGAACCTCAGCCCAGGGCCAAAGAAAAATAAATTACGAAGTGATATTATGACGAGTAGTGTTCTTGTTTTGATGTAGTTAATACCTACCCGGTAGTGCTCTGCATGGTCCGTTCTTTTAAGGACCAGACCGGACTACAAATTTTACCAGAGAACCGAAGTCGGACCGGACCACACTTAAACGTTAATCAAAGACCAAAATTGGACCGAACCGACGGCTTCATATTATTTTTAATCCGGACCGGATCAATAATTAAATAACATTTAATAAAGTAGACCGTAGTCCGGACTGTCAGTCCGATCTTAAAACATTTTGGACACTAAGCACCTTTCCGTAAGGTTCAGTCTGTATTAGCCCAGACCGTACCATATGATGCGTTTAGTATTACACTGGACCGGACTACCCGACTTGATAAATAAATATATACCTAAAGTTGTAGTTTTCGTTTTATTTGTTTACATAACAATACCTGTACACAATATTTGTATTTAGATTTTAAGTACCATTATTGGGTTCCGCGTCGTTTGATCCGTTAAATAACATCCGGCGACAAATGATCCACGACATTTGGTCCGATGGAAACATATCCTGTGTCAAAAATATCCAGGGGAAAAATATCCGATAATTTTTCATTATTAACAAATTTGTTTAAAATAGTTACTTAAATAATTAATATAAATGTTTTTTACTTCAAAAAGTGATATTATGTACGTTTAAATTTGTTTCAAATAAAATTAGTATGATATCGTTAAGTCTTAGATTATAAGAATAATACAGACAGACAAAATATAATATAATATAATAATATTATTTCGAAGAAACTTGGATTGAGCGTACAGTTCGTAGAAGAAGAAAAAATCCAATGTTTCCCTTAGGAATGTGGAACTATTACAATTATGTATATATGGATTTCCCTCGGACTACTAATAACGCTGTTGAAGGTTGTCATCATGCTTTTAATACAAGTTTAGGATCTAACCATACCACGGTATGGAAATTTATCAACTTCTCGAAGAAAGAACAAGGGCTGCAAGAGGCAAAAATCGAGAAAATTAATTTTGGTGAGATTAATCCTGCAAAAAAACGTAAGTATAACAACCTTGACAAACATTTAAAAAAATGTTGTACAAAATTATATTATATAAATTAAATTATTTTATATTATTTTAATTTTTAATTTTATAGTTTAAAGACTTATAGAGATATTTATATTCTGAATTATATATAATATTTTACCTAAAAATAACATGTTTTAGTTTAAAAAATGTTCGATTATAAGACTATATTATTTGTTTGAATTGTTCATATTTCGCATAACAATAAAAAAAAAAATGATCGGATATTTTTGCCCCGGATATTTTTGATACAGGATATGTTTTCACCGGACCAAATGTTGCAGATCATTTATCTTCGGATATCGTTTACCGGATCAAATGGCAGGTCACCTCATAATTGGAACCGGCTGGACTAATTTTCATTTACTTTTTTTGAAACCGGACCGGACTGAAAATAATGCATTTGATCTGAGGACTGAACCGAACTACTCCTAAAAATTATTGAACCGGACCAAATCGATGATTCAATAATTTTTGTATATTAGGACCGTACTAGACCGGACCGGATTGATTAAGACCGGACCATGGAGAGCAATAGTGGGTACCAATATACCCGAATTTACCGGTAGCAAACGTTTTCGGGTAGTAACTAACCCAATATCCAAAATGTTCTGGTAAAAATATTGATACACGTAAATGGTCAAGTCCTAGCTGCTAGGAGATAATTACATAATTATACAATTATACGATTAAGAAATATTTCCTTTTTTATTATAATTTAATAAAATTACGGTTTAAAAATAATATGTTTAGTATTTTGTGCGAGTGTTATTATGAATATTATAGTTTAATAATTAGTTTATTCAAGTATTATGTTGAATACCATATTAAAAGCTATTTTAAAGCCTATATTAAAGCATTGCAGGTAACGGCTATAGAGACATTAATCGTTACCTTGTATGTGTACAGTTACGCAGATAATAAGTAAAAACAATGCAAATTATCCAAACGTATTCAACGTGAAAACGTAAAAGTTTAGCTATGCTCTCAATCAACAAAAATAGGTTATTTAATTATCCCTGATGAGGTGCTGGTTTAACTATCAAATAAAGAAAATTAAAATTTCTGTGATAAAAGTGCAATATATATTAAACTGTCATGGGTTGAGAGGAAAATTTTATTTGACTGGTTATTTTAACTATAAATACCTTTAGATGTTAGTAGTTATAAAGAGGAAGTTTTTAGATCGTATTATTTTTAAATAACCCCTTCCTCCTGCCCGAACAAATTTAAATTCACGCCACTAAAAGCCGTAAATCAGTAATCATCGAAAGGTAAATTATAAATAACTCGTAAGTTTATAAATCTATAGAGGTATAACAGGTGAATTGTAGAGCTGTTGTTACCTGTTGCATTTTTCATTATCAATAAGCTATTATCTCTCTTTTAATATAATATCATTATGATAATGTTATTATTACGCCGCGGCGGTCGTGAACTGTTTCATCGGACAACGAATATTATTTCGATTTAACCAAAGAGTGGCGATGCCATCCGTACAGATCATCGGTAACAATTAGACGGACGTATTACGATCAACTCGAACGTCGCTAAAGAAAAAAATTAAAAAACATTGATAATACGATGTTATCAATGGAACACCGATCAGTTGAAATGCGTGTCGGACAATTGAGGGGCGACAAGGACGACTTCAAATGTTCTGCGATCGCGAATCACATCAAGGTGATTATTATTATTATTATTATTATTATTATTATTTTTATTATTATTATTATAATAGTAGAGAGTACTCACTTGTTTTTAGATTACAATCGACGTCTACTATCCAGAGTTTGGGTGAAAACTGTCCGGGAAATGTGATTTGAAAGTTGTTTGTTAACAACCGTTAAAATTATAACGTGCGGAGAAAAGACGAACGCGCACCGTGAGCAGACGCGCGGTGCGGATTATTGTTTTTCAGGTTAAGAAAAAAGGCGCGTTATACTACCGGAATCGAAGACTCGTTATCTGCGACCGGACGAGTACGATATACAGGACCGGAAAAAAACATATTAGTAAATTACACCTGATTAATAGTAAATAATCAATGCCTACCATGGCAGGGGAAACGTTCGCTTTTGCCGACTACGATTGCGTGGGTTTCGATTTGGACAATACGTTGTGCGAATACCGCATAAAGCCGATGGTGCAGATGATCTACGACGTTCTGGCCGAATACCTGATAAGCAGGCACGACTACGCGGCGGACCATCTGCGGCGGCCGATCGATTTCGAGTTCTGTCAAAGAGGCCTAGTGCTGGACGTGGAACGGGGGAACGTATTGAAAATCGACGGTAATGGCCGCGTGCTGAGAGCGACCCACGGCACGCGGTTCATGTCCGACCACGAGATTGTGACCGCGTACGGCCCAACCAGAACGTGGTCAATAGCAGAGGTGTTCGCGCGAAACTTTCTGGACACGTGGAACGGACCGATGTCCGAACGGATTAGACCTCTGTTGGACTTCTTCGACATCTCCGTGTCGCTAGTATTCGGACGTTGCGTGGACGGTATCGACGATGCCGCCGGGCAAAGCCCATCCGGCGGATACAACGTCTGGCCGGACGTGCACAAAGGCTTACTAAACATGTACACCAGGGACAACTTTTCATCGGACATCGGAGAGTTTTTCCCTAATATCAAGTCCACGCCGTCGTTGTACTACAACCGGTGTCCAGAATACGTCATCGACTGGCTCAAGGAGTTAAAGCGGAACTCCAAAGTGTTCCTCGTGTCCGGGTCTCATGTGGATTACGCCAATTTCTCAGCCGTACAATCGCTGGGCACCAACTGGAAGGAACTGTTTGACATTGCCGTGTTCTATGCTAGAAAGCCCGGATTTTTCTCTTCCGACCGACCATTCTACAGTACCGACTCTCTAATGTCCAAAGAATGTGATATCGTTGAAGACATTCATCTCGGTAACATCTATAGTCAAGGTAACTGGAATCAATTGTATAACCTGTTCAAAAAAGAAACCGGCAAATCTAACCCAAAGTGCTTGTATGTGGGTGATAATGTACTGCAAGACATTGTTGCTCCCTCCAAGTTCTGTGGTATAGATACAATAGCTGTGATTGAAGAAATGAAATTGGATTGTAACAATATCGACCTTAATCCAGATATTGATATATTACGACCAAACAAATGGAGTTCTTATTTTGTCGACTCTGAAAAGAATGATGTGTCAATTTGGAGTTCTTTTATTACACATGGAAAACTTTGTGTTCCTTCAATAAAATGTTTAGCAAAATTACCTGTTATTCACCAGTTCACAACCTTTAGTAAAAATAAATATTTTAATGGATTTTATCCTTGTATACCAAACAGCTTATACAAAATATTAAAGTAATGAATTTAATAATTTTTTATAACGTTACGCTTCTTGTTAACTATATTTTTAGAACAAATTACTCTATTCTGATCTGTATTGGTCTGATCTTGTGATCGCCGAGAGCTATTGAATATTATCATTATTGGGTTGCCAAAAGATAAAACAAGGAAAAGAAAATAATATCATATTGTACGTGTAGGTATAAAACAATTTAACTATGAAAAGATTATGAAAAAATGGTTGTCTTATTAACTTTTTTAGTTAAAATTATATGAAATTTTCTGTTATATTCAATAGGGCTAACTAAAAATTACTACCAAAGGCCTAGGCAAATACTATTTCTGGTATTCTAATGTACATGAATCTACTAACAAATTTTTGAAATAAAATTTATAAATACTCATTTTATTATGTGAATTTTTTTTTTTTAAAGAATTAAAATGTATAACTATCTGTAAAACTAGATAACTTCATAATTGAATACAGTTATGAATGACTGGAAATTACATGGTTGTAGGAGAATGCAAAATACTATTTGTATAAAAACCAATTTTTATTATTATTGGCACATTTGATGTATTTGATTTATTATGAACAATACTATTATAACTTTAATTATAATTATTAACAAACATTACACTGGTAAAATAATATATATAAAATATATTAGAAAATTATCATACAGTTAATTTTCTATGGAAATTCCATTTACAATTTGCTCTAATAAAATCATAATTAAAATTAGAATACAAATTTAAAAAAAAAATGTTCCATAAATCTATAATTGACATAAATAAATATGGCATTTATAATAATTTAAAATAAAATAACTAAACAATAATAAATACTGTAATAAATAACTCATAACGTAATCCCATAGCCCAGTCTACAAACAATTATAAAAATAATAAGTCAATTTCAATAAGAATTCATAAAAAATAAATAATTATCCTTTCAGTTTTCAGCAGAGTTCATTTTCTTTAAATAAGTATGCAGTTAACCATGATGTAATATTTTCCATAGGAAATATTTAGCACCTACAATAAACAATATTAATAATATATTATTAAGAAAAATGTATTGGATTAAAATTTTACTTACAATCTAAATAAATTTCTTTCGTGCAGAAAACTTCAAGTGTTGATTTATAATACTGTCTCTACAGCAATAGCAATACCCATACCTCCACCAACACATAAAGATGCTACACCTCGTTTTTTACCAGTCCTCAACAAGGAGTGTACCAATGTGACCAAAACTCTGGCACCTAAATTAAACCAGGTCACATAATTAAATACAAGTGCACTAAATAAATTTAATCATTGAAATAAAAAATGATTACAAATTAACAAAATAGATTGCCATGTATTCATATTAATACTTTTTGTTGTCTTTAATGACCAAAAGTAAACAAATAATCATGCATAAAATTAATTCAAATTGTATGATAATTATAAGCTATATTAATTGAAATATTCCAAAAGCTTTCCAATCTTTAAATTTTAAATAGTTATTTTTCTCAACCAAAAAGTACAAACATTAGCTTTTATGATTTAGGTATAAATAATAATTGTATACACTTGAGCAAAGATCAATAATACTCATATAATCACAAAACAACAACTATACCAGATGCTCCAATGGGATGACCCAGTGCTATAGCTCCTCCGTAAATATTCACTTTATTAGTATCTAATCCCAAATCACGTAGTACAGCTATTGATTGAGCAGCAAATGCTTCATTTAACTCGAAAATATCTACACTGTCTAGTGTCCAACCAGCTTTTTCAATCTAAAATTGAGTAAATTATTAAAAATTAAATATTTATAAGATATGTTAAGTATATGACATGTAGAACACTGCAGGTTTTAACAATGACTTTATACTTAAATGTTGTTTCAAAATAACATTTTTAAGAATCTAATGAAATTGTTTTTCACCTACAGTTTGGAATACGGCAGGAATTGGTCCAGTACCCATTATTTTTGGATCAACTCCACACTCAGCATGAGATACAATTTTAGCCATAGGAGTACAACCTCGTTTTTTACATTCTTCACTGCTCATTAATAAAACTACAGCAGCACCATCATTTAAGCCAGACGCATTTCCAGCCGTAACAACACCATTCTAATTACAAGCAGAATAAATTTGAATTAGTATTAAAATAATAATAGAAATAATTTTTTCTTACTGTTTTAAAAACCGGTTTTAATGCAGATAGTGATTCTAAAGTAGTATCATGTTTTGGATATTCATCTACATCAAATAAAATGGTATTCCGTCGTATTTTTACTTCCACTGGTGTTATTTCTTCTTTGAATATTCCATTTTTTTGTGCTTCGGCAGCCCGTTTCTGAGATTCTAGAGCATATTTGTCTTGTTCTTCTCTCGAAATTTCATACTTTTCAGCAATATTTTCAGCTATAACATTTTTTTTTAATAAACAATTAAAACAAAATCATACACAGTTCAAAGAATAATTCATATATTTAAAGAAGAAGTTTTGTTGGGATAGACATTAAATCAATTTCATACATTTATTTTAAAAGTTTGACTAATTATTCAAAATTATTCTTCTATTTACTACAAAAAATCTAATAAGAGCCTTGGGGCATGTAACTATCAAAAAATGCATTATAGCCTTGATAAATACAAACAAATAGATAATGTTCTTCAATTATTTCAATATAAATAGTTAATATTTATAATAAAAGAATATACACAAAAATGTTTTAATCAAAATGTCATACCTGTGATTCCCATGTGTATATTATTGAATGCATCAATCAATCCATCACATAACATTGTGTCCATCAAATCGGTGTTACCCATTCTAATTCCATTTCGTAAATTGGCAACATGCGGAGCATTGCTCATACTTTCTTGACCTCCTGCAATGACAATTGAAGAATCTCCACATTTTATTGCCTGGTATCCAAGAACCACAGCCCTAAGAGACAATCACCTATCGTTTTTCATATAATTTATATAATTTTTATCCTACATAACTTACTTGTTGATCAATATATTATATTATAGATTACATTAATGTATAATATTTAAATTAAAATTTCAATTTCAACTTACTTCAGTCCAGATCCACATAACATATTGATAATATAAGAAGGTACTGTAAATGGAATTCCAGCATTTACCGAAGCTTGTCTGGCAGGATTTTGACCTTGTCCAGCGGTAAGAGCCTAAGGTATATTAAAATAAATAAAACTTATGCTTACATAAACCATATATTTACTAAATATGCACGATAAAAATTTTTTGGTATACCTGTCCTAAAATAACTTCAGATACTTCATTTGTATTAACATTAGCTCTTTTCAATACTTCTGAAATCACTATACAGCCCATTTGATGAGCTTTTAAAGATGACAATGAACCACTGAATGAACCTATAATTATTATCAAATTTAAATGAATATTATGATTTTAATTAATTAAGAAATTTTAATTTATATTTTATAGATGACAAATTAAGATAAGCACAATATGATCCAGTGCTTTAAAAAATTATCAAATCATTCTAATTAAATTAAATATGAGCTCAATCTATTCTTCTAGTTATTCTCTAAGAAACATAAAAATAGAAGAATTTAGGAAGATAATCTAACTATATTTTTATTTTTAGGAAAATTATTTATTTCAAGTTGAACAATTTCTAGTAATAAGTCTTTACTAAAATTATAAAAATGAAAATATAAAAATATAAATTATTAAAAATTTACTATAAAACTTGAAAATTAATCCAATTTCAAAGCCGTATTTAAAACCAGATAAGTGATATTTCTTTCTACTTTCATTATCTTATAAGTACATAGATACTTGGTTAAAGCATTGGTATATCAGTATATGATATATTATTAAGTATTAATTATATATTTATAAGAAACAACTACATAACCATAATAAAACTCAAAACCCATAGTACTTATCAATAAAATGTACAACCTGCGAATAAATTATTAAAAAATATCATTAGCTTAAGTATATTAGATATATTATTATAATTATTATAAAATAGCAGAGTTAATAGTATAACGAAATTTATAGAAAAAATTAGAAACACAAGCATTAAATAATTATTTTAATTTTCAACTATTTCATTATTTAGTAATTTATTGATCATAAACATTGTTAAATAAAAATTAATTACAATGATAAATTCCTGTGAATACAAATATTTTACGCAATTTATAAATATATTAAGATAAATAAACAATCATTGCATACAATTGGATATTAATTTTATTAAAAAAAAAAAAAAAAAACTAAAAATAATTTATCATCAATAGGTTCTTAATTGAGTTAATATAAAATAATAATATATTTTTTGTTATGTAATACATATAGTAGAAAATATTGATCATATAGATTTTATGATAGATTGAAATAAAATATAAAAGTAGTTCATTTCAACAATTTGATTCTTCATATTTTTTTTGTTTAAATTATTAGTTATTACTGTCTGAGGTTAAATTAGTTACATAATATAATTTTTATCTTCCTAAAGTACTAAAATATAGGAACTTAAAAATGGATTGATTAGATTTTAATATTTTCATTACATAATAAGTAATAAATTTGCATAAATAAGCAATTAAATTTATTAGACAGTATATATTTAATAAGAAAAATAAAATAATAAAATTACCGGAAGAAAAGTATTATATAACTTTTTTTTAACTTTATCTGTAGGTTCACTAAGGGGTCATAAAAATAAGTGAATCAATTAAATACAAATTAAGTTTGCCAAATTTCACAATAAAAATATTGTTGATTCATTCTGTTTTATAAAGACCCTAATGTATTGGGCTGTATTGTCATACATATGTTACACTAGGTCAATATTTTTAATTTTACCATTTTAATTACATGTTTAAAAACATACATGTTAAGTGAAATATGTTAAATTTTATAATTTTAACTGTTTCATATCCAGAAAAAAAGTCTTGAATTTAAAAATTAGTCTTAATAATGTTTTATAGACTTGTCTATCTGACTTTATAGAATTGTCTAAATCCATTAAGTAAATTTAATCATTTTAAAATGAATAGATTATAAACTCAATTGAAACATTTCAAACAAATTATATTATTATTTTATTTCAAGTAAATCTGATATTTTTAATCAATTATTGAAACGTCTTTTTAGTTCAAAATTATATCACAAGCAATCATAATTAACTCCAGATGTAAAATCTTTATTAGTGTAGATAGATTATTTATATATATAAATTATAACTTTATAACACAAAAAGAGTTTTTAATTTTTAAATTTATTTTATGTACAGTCACATTTTTGCTAAGTGCAAATTTTAATAATGCTAGATTAAAATAGCTACTGTTCTAGAAATCACATATGTGACATATTAGTTACAATTTTAGAAACAGATAGTTTATATATTACATTTTTATAAATGAAAATAATATAGTTGGATAAGATTTTATAAAACTAATTCTCAAACAATATAAGCTAACATAGGTTCACAATAAAAACATATGTTTTTCCTTTATTAAAATGTATGATTGCGTAAAATAATCAATTAAAATAAATAATCTAAATTATAAATTACATTAAAAATTTAAAGACTTTGAACTAACAACAAAAATGCATAGCCTTAACAAAATATATATTTTCTCAATTAACATAATTTATAGACGGTACTTATTTATTTTCATTCACATTCATTTGTATTATTTTTTTTTATTCTCAACTGATTTAAAATTGTATTTTATAATCAATTTCAAGTAATAAATACCTGTTTTAAAAAATTATTTGTTTTTACCAGTATAAATTGACTTTGTCTTAATAATGTTTAACATAGCATATCTGCTTTCAAAAGTACTAAATTTGAGTTGTTAGCTTTAATATTAGAATAAATTGACCTGTTACTGGACTCATTTACGACCAAAGTATAAAAAAACTAAAAACATTTTTATTGTGTAAAATTTCACCACTAAAAATTTAATTTAATTTGTTTGGTTAACTCAGTATGTTTTTGTTTTTTTTTTTGGTCTTCCAAATCAAATAGAATAATAGTTGTATTAAAAAATATATATATAAATCTAATCTAAAAAAATCATTGAAATTAATGTTTTGTACATCTAATTTTGACTGTAAATGGATTAAAGGGAAAAGTGCCTTCTTGTAAGTTTTTAAATATTTTCATTTTAAGTAAGTTATGATTATATAAAATATTATAATTTAAAAAACTCTTAATTTTTTTTTTTTAAATAAAAACATTGTTAAAATACAAGGAGAAAACATAAACTATGTTATTCATTAAAAGTTCAATAATTGATTAAATAATAATATTTGTATGTAAAATTAGAGTTTGCAAAAATTAATATTTACCGTACCTAGTTAATAATAAATTATATATAGTAATTTATAAGTATACAGAGAAAAATAATCAATTATTTTTTAAAAAAAATATGGTAAATTTTAATGTCATTAGGTACTCAAAATATGAAAAAAAAAAATAATTATTTCTATCTTCAAGGTATAATTAACAATATATATGTATTTCTGTTGAGAATATATTTTTAAAATATCATAGACATGTAAAGCATTTTTTTACTTATTTTTATAAATACTTTACACTATATATAAACTCATACAATGATTATAATGGAAGTAAATTAAAAAAAAAAAAATAGATAAAAATGAACATTTATATTACAAGTTTGTAAAAATAACCAGTTTATTTTAATACACAAAATTATTATTTTCAACAATTAAAATAATTAACAATAAATTTGAAATATTTTAATTCAAAATAAACGTTAAACATTGTGATTAAGTATGTAAATAATAAATAAAGAGATTAAGTATCATTTAAAACAAACCAATTATTTAAAATTAATGTTATCTTGATCATTAGCATTATTTTTTATAATTATTTTAATGTAGACTCTTAGTTATTTTTTTTAGGAAATTTAAAAATTTGGAACAAAAAATAATGTAATAAAAATCATATCAACTATAATGTATATTATTTTATAGTTTACAGATCAAGAGAAAGTGTACAAGGGTTGTCCTAAAAAAAATCAAACAGATTCTAGGTAATATTTATTCATTTTTTTTAAATAATCTAATAGAAATTGGGTGCAATGTAGATTTGGTACTTACCTATAGGTGTACGGACTGCAGATACAATATACACTTCATTGGCCATGATGAAAGGATTTAAAAATATAAAAATATAAAAATTATAGGTACCTAAGCGGCCAAGCAGAGTACAAGACTATTTGAATCGAACTGAAATATAGTGGTATTTATAGAAAGAAAATAATGATAACAAATGAATTACACTTAATTACAGTGTGTGAATAACAGTTGTTGCACTAGAATAATTAACAAATTATAAAATTAAAATTTATAAATAACACATACTGTAAAGGTATTTTAAAAAAAGATATGCACTACGATCGAAATGCCATGATAACACACACGTCATCAGTGATAACAGGGAATTCCGATTATGATAAATGATAACGAATCAGCCGTCAAGAAAAAAATGTAATTGTAAATATTTTTTTTTGACATTGGTTCGCAAGTGATATTTTGAAGAAACGTGTTCGTAGGGAATTTTCAAACGGTTCTCTGTCCGCAAAACCATCTGCGATATCGTCGGTTTCTCGACGTTTTTCTGATCGCTCAACGCTAACAAATTTGTCGGGCCGTCCACATTATTAATACCGTAGGCGAAACACTGACGGGGCGGTGTACTGCTATTATCAACACACATTCGCTGGTTTGATATTAACTGGTGTGGCGGCACTGCCGAAATCGCTGGTCCAGTCAGTATCGAAAAATGGCAGAGTTCGTCAGGGTGACTTCCAATCCCTCGATTAATTCAGGTAAATTGTCACATTATTTAATCACATGATTGATTTCTGGTGGCGGACGGGCGTCGACACGAGGGTCGGCTAACGTGGGTTGACGGTTCGGGCGTGGATTTCCGCATTTCCGTCGAATGCGCTTGTCTTCGTCGAGGGTGCACACACTTATCAGTAGTATTATGAAAATACTTCGGAAATATATTGTTTGTTAGGATGTCCTTGTGCATGACGATGGCGACACTATGCGAGATTCGTGCTGTATAGTGCGTGCGCATCGTAACGCCCCGACCACTGGTCCCACGGTTCACAGGACACGAAATTTCCCTGCAATTATTTAACCTCAAACGCGAGCCAACGCTCAGCAGACCACTGCAACAGTAGTGTGTACCCCCGGTGTAATAGGTATGCGACAAATTAAACTGAAGGCCTTTAAAATTTCTGTAACCTTTCATACTGATGTAGATGTGTCAGGAACACCCACAAAAACATTTCACAATATGTAGACTGATTTTTTTTCTCCAAATGGTCAGTATTTTTTTTTTTAAATCCAACCACCATGGTTTTGAGAATTATGTTTTCTTGACACTTAACTGTTTTAATCCTTAGCGGTATGTGTAGGTGTGGCAATAAATCATTTTATTGCTACAGCTATATGCGTAGTTGTGGATTATTTGTTCCATGTCAATAAACACAAATATCGTATATTATTCTTATAGTAACCATAGCAACTTTATGGTCAACATTTTATTTAAACCGTTAGACAACAATTTTACATTTGAACATTATTTCACTGTTGCATGTGTTATCATATTGAGTAGTTTATAACATAAAGAATTCCTTTTTTCATTTGAGAGATAACAAATAGTTATTGTGTCTTATGTAATAACAATTAATTACCAATTTTCATTCTAAAATATAGTATCAATAATTTTATATTAACGATTTTACATTGTTATAAATGTATTGTAAAAACTTAAAACATCTGACAGTATTTAATAGTAATTTTATAATTATTACTGATATTCTTTTATTTTAATACATAGATTGAATATGTTTTAAATGTAATAATTTCAAGAAATAGAAGTTAACTACTTATTTGTTTTATTTTAAAAAATTATGTTTTTATAATTTCACATATCATATCTAAATAATATAACATACAAATAATACTGAAAAAAAGTCATTTTATTTAAATTTGTTTCAACAAAATAGCAATTACGTTTAATTTGACTATTTAAACTAATGTACAAATTCATTAATTAAAATGTAAACATTTTGAAATTTGTATTTATAAAGTCCATAGTAGTTTTATAATTTTTTACACCTATTTATGTACTATTTCAGTCAACATTTAATTTTTAATTATTAATTAGTATTTTTTATAAATAGGGTACTTTAAAACCCTGATCACTAGATATACTTAAAATTTGGTATTTGTACTTAGTAAAACCTGATTAATAAATTATAAATAAAAATTGAAATATTTTCAATAGGTTGTTTTATATTTCAAATAGAACATAACAATATTAACAATTTATAAATTTGATCCATATCATTATTTAAATTAAATTTAAAAAAAATTATACCTAATTATTAAAAAATGTCATATATTTATCACATTTTAGTATAATATATACTAGGCATCTTACAGTAGTACCGCATACAAAAATTCTACCGATGGTATAAAAACGCAAAAATTCCTAACAGTTGTGCCTAATAATTAATGAAACGGTATATATGTATTTATCCAGCTTATCAGTTATATTGTTACGGACATACATCTTTACGATTGAACGGCCGCATGTAACAATATATTAATTAGATTTTTTTGCTTGAATCAGCTTTTATTGAGTTAAAATGGTTAATCTTGGTATTAACTAAGAAAACCTATTTTTACCTTGTAATCAAGCTTTTACGCTTTCCTTTATTTTAAAGTAATTTAATAAATAATTTAACTTTAAATTAAATTATCTGTTAGATGTCTATACAAATGTTTATATTTTCAATAATCAAACACTTATGGCATTTTAGAATGTATTGAAAAACATTTTCTTATACGTTAGAAATGTCTGTGTAGTCATTCATAAGGAATATAGTAGTTTTCATCTTAATTACTTACATTTATATAATGTAAGTATAATAATATAATCAAAATTATATTTAATTAAATTGAGTTGAAACTATTCAATACAATTTATAAATGTATCTAGGATTAATATAATGTGCATTATTTGTATACAAATGAATTGTATTGATTTCATTAAGTTTTTTATTATTGGAAATTGATCAATTGATAATTAGGTTATAATTATTTTTATAAAAATTCAATATTTTAATAGTTTCATTACATCTATGGCTTGATTTTTAGAACATAAAAAAGTATAACATATCGTTTGATTATTTGATTCAAAACAAAATATTGAATTATGATAAATTCAAATTATTTGTTGTTCGATATTATGTTTATCTATTTATAAATTACTTTATGTTGTATAAATACGTACAGTATATTATTTTTATAATATAGATATGAATTATTTTCCTGATGGTTCAATGTTGTGGTCTAATTATAATTAATTTTAAAATTGAAGGTATTATGTTTAACATTGTACGTTCCGGTTCATGGTCGATTTTTTAGAATTTCTGGGGGTGGTCCTTTGGTATTATCGTATAATATAATAAGATACAAAAATGTTTAATCCATTAATAATTTATTACTTAAAATGTAATTCTTATATTCTTAATATTATAAACACCTAGTTTGTATCAACTATATAAATTAATTTGAATATTTATTTATCTTACATCTAGCAAAAAAATTATTAATTTAAAAAAAAATATATTAATTTGACACTTAAAAAAAAAACATCAATGAAAAGTAATTTTATTATTTTAATAAAAATACAATATTTTTAATCTTAAAACTTAAAAAATTTAATTTACTTCACTTTAGAGTTTGAATTGAGTTTATAATTGTAAAATTATTTTATTTTGATCTATTTTTATATTTTTGTTAAAATCTGTGTATGGTTCATGAAAAATGTGTATCAAATCATGTACTACTCCATAATAAAATTAAACTTAGCAGTTTCAATATTTTTAATTTGTCTTCTTTCTCTTAGTTTTCTTTCTGTAATAAAATTTCATAGAAAAAAATGTTTAAAAAAAACAATAAATTATTTCATATTAATGATTCATTTCTTGTATAATTTATTACATTTTTTTTTCTGTCAAATTTTTCTAATTTTAAATATTTAAGCTAGTACAGCTGTGAAAATAATTAAAGGTAATATGTATGTTTAACCTTCCACTCGGTTCACCAACATCTACTAAACAATTTATTCTTACTTTAATTATTTTTTACTGTCCATAATATAAATATATACCCACATAATTTAATGTAATAATATAATATTGAAAAGAATAGAACTTTGATTAAAAATGAGGTTTAATTATCATATTTTCATTGTCGTTAAAATTTAAGCTCGAATAATAAGACTTTACCATTTGTTTTAAGTTAGAATAGTATAAATTCCAAAAATAATTACTTACCACATCGTTATAATTTTTCATATTAGAAAATTATTTCATAAAGTATTTTAAAGGGTATACTTTGTCGAATTAACTAATAATTTTTCTCAACTACTGTAAAGCAAAAAAACATAAACTCGTATATATACACCTAAGCAACCGTCTTTTACTTATAATTTTTACTTGTAAATGTAATACAAACTGACATTAATTTAAACATTTTTCTTGTTCTCCACTCGTAGTCATATTTTTCGTATTCTTTACGTTTTCCTAGACAATTATATTGCGAATATATTGCCGAAATGAGTTTAGTTACTCTCAAAACGTCTACATTTTTAAGAATCACTTGCCCATTATTTTTGTCATACCATATAATCTGTTCAATTATAGAGACTTTTTCGTTAAAACTAATTTTTTTTGTTTTCTTCCGTGAGTTAATCAATTATTTACATTGTTATTATATTTATATGTATCAAATTTATTGCATGAAATGTAAAAAAAAACGCAAACTGTATATTGGTAGTATAATATTTAGTGACTTACTTTTTGGTTTCTATTAAATTATATGTATAATGCAATCAATGTTAGTGTCTATTTACATTTTTTGTTTTGAACAAACATTTCTCTCAACTTAATCCATTATTTTTATTAAATTAAATTAAATTATAAAGAAATTATACAAACTACATTTAAATACGTGACTTTAAGTTTTCAATAAAACCCTAATCCATTCCAATAGTTATCAGAAAATATAAAAATAAAATAAAACATTAACATTCAAAAGTTTTACTTATTCGTTGAATTGAGTATAGATTAATTGACAGTATCGTTCAATTCTTACCATTATTTGATTAGTTCTTTGCATGTCTAGTGCCATTATTATGTAAGGTCGTAATATACACGCCTTTATTTTTAGCTTTTAACGGATTTTCTTTTATTACTACTTTTTGTGTTTTATA